GAAAGCCTAGCTAAGGAAATGCTACTTAGAAAGCAGTTTATTACTAAGCGGTTGACCAAAGAAAAGTCATATACAGAAGGGCTGCAGGTAAAAACATTCAACAAAGAAAAGATATGTGACGAAACGGTGGTTTATAGCAAGTTGCTGCTTGGAAAAAAGTCCTCATCGAGCAAGTCATCTCCCACCTCTAACAAAATGGCGTCGAAACCCCTAAAATTCGCTTACACGATCTTTCTTGGCAGAACTAAAAGCGCCATCGCTTTTAAAGTTCTCATTGATGGCAAACGTAAGGAGACAATTTTGCTTTCAGCCACGGTACCAAGACGACTCCGTAAGCGTGACAATCCAACCAAGCTTACTGCTGAAATGATGGCTGAAAAGCAACTGGCCGTTCAAGAGAAAAGACTTAGAGAACTGGAGCGAGTCCGAAACTGCGCTCGCGCTTATGTGCGGTCCCTTGAGAGAAATACCGCTGTCCACTAATTAACACTTAATAAAGCGTTTTAGGTTTGAGCTTCAGTGACAATAAGGCTGCTACTTGGCGGCGCAGACCTGTCCACTCGGTCTCCGTGTCCGAGTTGGCCATAGTAGCCTGGAACATGACAAATTTACGTCTCTACTAGGTTACGTGGTGCAGGTCGACGACAGTTGAATCAGTCGTTTGAGGTAAGAGCCATCAGGAGTTGATGGAAACGTTCAAGTAACGATATAAAAAATCTTGCGCAAAATGTTGATCGAAATCAATCAAAAGGTCTACTGTCCCTGTTTCTACACATGAATTATCTTTTAGGACTGAGGATATTTATAAATCACTGCAAGTATTTCATTTAATGATAAAGGAGGTAAGTTTCTACAGAAACTGTGGTGCTGCATCGGTAGGAGAATATAAAAGGGTAATTTAGTGTTATCAACTAAGTTGAAAACATAAATTGGCCTACGTCAGAGCGATTGGCCATAGGGCTAAAGCTCGAAACATCAGCCTTTAAACTCTTTACGGAGGCCAATTTACGTTTTCAACTCAGTTGATAACACTAAATTACCATGTTATTTCGTTTAAGGATCGAGTTCCTTTTAAATACAAGGGAAATTCGAATTTGAAAGTGGGTAATTCAAACTACCTATCCTTTGGTGGCTTGATAGACGCATAAAAAATGGATTTCATTGATGTCATTTTCAAAATACAATGAGTTGTGTCCATGAAATGACTATTCACTGTTTAGAAAGCATAACAGAAGCAAGGGTAGGAAAAAATTCTTCCCATTTTTCCTGAGAGGAAATTTGAAGGTAAAGGATGGCCACTGGTTTTGACTTCATATTGGCTTAAGTTAGGGTTTTCCCTCCAAGAAGTCTTACAGGGCATTCAAAACTGTCATGAACCAAAGCCACTTTAACAGAGAACTACATTAATATGAGCCATGTTTCATTTTTTTCTGCATTTCCTGAGCATATTTAAGTTGAACACAATATCTATTCAGACAGTAAGAAAATAGTTCTTTTTTAACAAATATGTCACATGCTAGTTAAAAATAATTTCACATCAACAGAAAAATTCATACAAACTTACCCCAACCCATGTCCAGACACTCCCATCTCCTGTAAGCAAAAAAATTAAACCAAGATTAGTCACACTAACTAATTGACAGTGAGGTAAATGGGTTAGTTATCCACTTTTTTTATCTCTTACAGACCACTAAGCTTCTCTTTAAAATGTTAGTACTAAAAAGTTATGCAAGTCAGTCCTGGTTATTTTTAAGGCGGATGTCTTATCCACTGGATAAAATAATCAACACATAAATTGTTCATAAACACTCCTTGTCTTGATAAAAATTTATCCCTCGACAGTGTTAATTGTCACCATCATTGAAACAACAATTAACAAAAGAGTGACTTCCCCAAATGTTCCCACATTTCAACCCAAAATAAAACGAAAGTTGAGCAACAGCACTGAACCACACTGGTAAGTTAGGGGCTGCAGTGAGGACTAATCAACAAATGTAAAACAGGAAAAACTGTCAAGAAACCATCTACATGTCAGCTCTCCAACTGGATTTTATTAGGTCATGATTTACTATATCCTGTATTTGATCAACAAATTCTAATAGGTACCTATGGCTATTTGCATATCAGTTGGAGATGGTGATACCCACCTACTCCTCCCCCCTCTCACCTTCAACTCCTGTCTCTCCCCTCTCTTTGTTACAGAACACAGCCATTTTTTAAATGATGTAAGAATTTTCACATTGTTTCCTTTCTCTTCCAGTACTTCCTATCCTTACCACTCCAAAACCCTGGATTTTCATAGAGAATTACATTAGACAGAGAACTGCAAAAATTTTCAAGGATATTCCTCACTCCTGAATGAAAAAATGGCTAAAGCAATTGAAATTTGGTTGGAATATTCTGCCTAATAGCCAGAGTAATCTCTGAGCTCCAATGCCTGATGTACAACTTGTGTTAAAACCCTCCTCTGCCATTCTATCAGCCAAGCCCATTCTTTCCCCCAGATCCACAGCTGACCATCAGTACCTCTAGATCATCTGGAAAGCTGACAGGTACTGGTACTGTCTGACATTGAACCAGGCCACCACTTGACAACCATATGTCATCAGGACAACCAAACCCAGCTGCCCCTTCTCATTCCATCCCCACATGTAGAGGTCACCAAATTCTGACAGCAACACATAAGAAGAAAATCAAACTTAAGAAAATCCACTCAGCTCAGAAAACAGCTTCCACAGATTTACATGTTAATAATCTATCAAAACTTACTGGACAGCAGAAAACTATTGAAAACGTATTACTTGTTGAGTCTTACATCAGGGGGTTCATAAGATTATAAGTTTAAATTTTGACCAAAAATAAGGAAAAGTCCTTCAGCACTGGAATTGAGAATAATTTTCTTACCAAAGGAAAAAAATCAGAAATCCATGACAAAAATATTAGTGAGTCTCAGACTCAAACGATTGGTTCCATCCTCAGAAAGAGTATTCTTGTTAATATGAAAGCTTAACAAAGTCTACATTTCAAACACCAACAAAATACAGTATTTAATTAAGTAATATCATTACAAGCAACACATGCTATTTCAAAAATACAAACAACTTAAGGCTAATTTTTTTTAGACTTGATAAGTACGCTCATAAACATAGCAAGCTTTGCCTTCAAAACCCAATGACAGGTGCATTCTGACTGGATGTTCAATTCCCTTTAGTTTAAAAATTTGACTTTGAGACTTGAGGGAGTAAGTCATAAAGGGATAAGTTTCTAAAGAAACTACGGTGCTGCGTTGGTGGGAGAGTATAACAAGATAATTTGATTTTGTCAACTGAGTTGATGACATAAATTGGCCACCATAAAGAGTTTCAAAGCTCGGTGGCAACGGTGTCAGTTGAAAATTAACCTTGACGTAATTAAGAGTAATTTGCAAAAGCCTCCCCAGGTGACCTGACTTGATATAAGCTCATAAATGGAACGGTCTTCCTTATTAATCCGATTTAAGGCTGATATAAATTTAGAGCTCGCCTGTTCTGGTCAAGACTAACCCTTGTCTAACCCTCGTCAGAGTGTCTTGCGATTCTTCTTGAAGCCTTTTCCTAACTGGAGTTATGTTGAATTTTCCACCGTGGTTTGGATTTTTCTTTCTCCTCGATCGCGATTTATTCACCGATTGCAAATATGGCGACGATCCCTCCAAAGCGAGGCTTCTCGGTAGCAACACCGTTGCTAAGGGCTGGGAGCGTCAGTTTTCAAGTATTTCGTGCCAGTCAGTACCAGTTGGATTACAATTTTTTCACGGGATTTCCAGATTATAAAACCCTTCTAGTTTGCTACAATTTTTTAAATTCAGGTGAGAATATTGTTTATGTTGACAGCGCAACAGAAGATTTAGAATTTGCAGCATTTAGTGATGTGGATGGGTCCCAGGGAAATAAACCAGGCAGGCGTCGAAAAATTAGATGAGTTCTTTATGGTCCTTGTTAGATTGAGGCTTGGGTTATTTGAACTTGATTTGGCCCACAGATTCAGAGTGCATGTTTCCACCGTAAACAGGATCTGCATTTCCTGGATCAATTTTTTGTACTTAAAATTTGGCTACCTCAACAATTGGCCGGACAGAGAGACAATAGACAAGGCCATGCCCTAGTCATTCAAGGATAAATACCCAAAAAACAAGGGTCATTATTGATGGAACAGAGATCAAGTGTCAGACCCCATCCTCTTTAGTTTTGCATAGTGAGACCTATTCCTCATACAAGAGCCATACAACATTTAAAAGACTGATTGGCATTGCACCCAATGGCCACATAGCATTTATTTCCCAACTCTATGCTGGCAGTATTTCAGACAGGGAGTTAACAGCTAGGTCAGGGTTGCTTAACTTACCTTATTCCCAAGGTGATTTTGTGATGGCAGACAAGGGGTTTACCACTTCTCACCTTCTTGAACCTATTGGTGTTGGCCTAAATATCCCCCCATTTCTTGGTTTGCAAAGTCAACAGGCCCCTTCAGAAGTCATTGCCACTCAAGAAATAGCATCAGAGTGAATTCATGTGGAAAGAACTACAAACAAAGTAAAGAAGCCAAAACATTTACAAACATTAAGAATCCAATTATTTCTTAGCTAATGGTAAAGAACCTTATATTTAAGGTACTATAATTTCTAACATATTTACATTACTTGAAATAAATTTTGGTAATTGGTTTATCTCACTAAATATCAGGTGTCATTTCAAAAACTTGTCATCCACTGACACTGCTTGCTGATATTGCCATAAGAGTGACTGTGGGAGTTGCTGGTACAGCACACACTTCAGCTGGCACTGGTAGTGCCTTGAAAAATTTAGCTTAGTGCTTAAAGAACTAATTTCAACAACATAGTGGCAAAAAAGTCTGGATCAAATTAAATACGTTCAATGACCATTCCCTGAAATGTGTTGATAACAAAGTCACACCACTTCATCATTGTTATCCCTATTCATCCTTGAACCTGATAACTGTATTTATGATTTGTCTTCAAAACTGGAAAGTTGTCTTTCATTTGCAGATGAAATTGACTATCACCAGCACATGCTGTCTTGGGTGTGACATTTCAGTGTTTGTAAGGTCCTTTTAATTTCAACAATCCCATATAGGTTGTCCTCTGTGTCATTCATCAATAGCCTTTGCATCAGGTGAGTAACCAAGGAATGGGCGAGCATGGTTTACAACAAAGCCAGATGAAAATTTTTTGACAGACAGTTCTGGTACCACTCAAGGGCTTTACTTTCATATACAATACCATGTTTCAAGGGTTCTGGTAAATTTCTTAGGCTGCCAGAGGTGTCCATGTCCTTAACAAGCCCCTTAAGAAAAGAAGTACTGATTGATTTTAGACTTAAGATATCTCCAAATGTTGAAGCTGTTAGTCTTGATCTATTTTCACTCCACCACTGGCTACTATTGTGTTGTGCTTGTGTTTCAGACTCAAGTGAAGCAGCATTGTGTTTACTGATTCTCAAGGTATCATAAAACTGTTGATATTCTGAAGGGCACTGTGTGACATTAAACAAGGGAAAAACTAAAGATAGTGGGAAAGATGGATAAATTGTTAAAGGAACACTGTCACTGTTACATCGCTCGGGCAAGTCAACATTGTATGCAGCTTTGAAGTTTCCTGCAGTGGGTGCCAATTGATAGCTGAGATATCCTCCCAAGGGGGCAGGTCCAACTCTGGTGGGTACATTTTCACCCTCAGTATTCATGCACAAACTGAGCCCAAAGTTCTTGTTCAACTTCTGCAAATGGCCTTTAAAACATTCAATCTCTGTGTTGCTTGGGGCTGCCTTTGCTTTCGGATACAATGAACAGGAAATGCCGGGTGAAGTTTGTTTTGAAGTGTTCCCCCAGCCAGACATGTCTAATTTGGACAAGCAAATTCTGTATAAGACACGATTTATTTTCTTGTGAGATGAAAATATGCCAGTGGATGTTAAAACGCTTACTTTAGGATATCAGAACACTGTTTCAACGGTTATTGTTGACCAGCTCACACTTCAATTGCTTTTGAGAACGAAACCTTTCTCTAAGGTAACAACTGATTAACTATTAAAATCTTGATCGTGAAAGTGTGATGCTTGACAAATATTCGGTACTGTGCTAACACATCAATTCTCAGCTGCTACGTAGAAGACCATCCTTAAGGTGATTTTAAGTTTTTGCTTTCAGTTTCTTTTTTTTTTAACTGAGAGAAGAATATACATGACAACCTGTTGCCTCTTTATCATGGAAGTTTATATCGTTTTTAAGCTTAATTGCGGTTGAAATGAATTGACCATAGAAACTCTGCTCACCTGTAATGCGCATAGAAATAGTTCCCTGTAAACACGGTTGGTGACTTAACGTTCTCAAGGTGTTTGGCTGCGAATGATGATTCCTGAAGTATCAGTTTCCTTTCATAAAGGTATTCAGAGCTGCTCGCAATGCATTTCTGTCCCTTTTCAGACAAAAAAATTGCGTCATTTCTCAAGCAGTCTTGCCCACGAACCGTAAAGGCCACAAAAGTTCACAAAAATTCATACACGGAAAATCGGTAAACTGCAATGAACGCTAAAAGCAGAAAACCAAAATTTTTTTAGCACAAAAACCGAAAAACCTATCTATAAAATAGCCAAAACCGGCTTAAGGAAACAAGTTTTCGCTAAGCTCGACAACAAACCGCGAACAACAACAGCAACATTACTTATTCGTGATTTACTAAAATCCCATGCTGTTTCTGTCAACTTTTTTTAAACAGCTGTTTCTCATTGTACGCCGATCAACACTTCTGTAATTTACACCCGCACGCACGCACTATTTGCGATGTTCCAACCCAAACGCGCAAGCATTTCCTCATCTAATTATTTCAGATCATTATTAATTTTCTATATCACGAACATTCTTACTACAAGTCTGCCACATATGTGCTAAAATCAGTTATACACCTAAATCTTAACTAAGCCAACTGTCATCAACCCCCCAGCTTAATTACTAAATTACGAAATAAAGTGTCACGCGGCACGCTTACAAGATTATCACGACAATTAACAATGACCCTTGGTTTCCGGAAATCTTAAGAAATTGAATACGAAAGCAATCTGAAACTATTATCAAGAGGTCAACATGATTGCGAAAGAGAAGAGGTACTAGAGAAGAGGTACTACGGAAGGATACTTACTTGGAGTTGGAAGAGGTCAAGTTAAAAAACTAGAAGACACCAATAATTATATTCTTAGATCTATTTTAGGGTTGGGAAAGCATACACCATACAATTATTTATTAAATATGGCTGGTATAAGAACGCTAGAAGAAAGAAGAAAATTTCAGGCTCTAGTTTTGGTATATAAATGTATTCATAAAGAAGCCCCAAGGAATATAAAATAATTTTTTTAGATTAAAATCTGCAATTATAATTTAAGAGGGTCGGGGACCCTTTTAACGTTACCCAATTTCAATCTTGAATGGCGCCATAAGTCGTTCTCATTTTTGGCCGCAAAACTTTGGAATTCGTTACTTTCGCTACTTTTAAAAGTTTTTTAAAGAAGCAAGCTTTGAGATAGATTTAAGAATGGTAACTTTCAATTATTTCTTTTCTTTTCAACGTTTTTAGTCACACACACGTTTTAACGAGTTTTTATCACTCCAAGATGTAAGTATTGTATTTTATCTGAACTTTGCTTTACACTTAAGGAATTACGGAATTACTGTTACACACTGCTTTACACTTCGAGTCGCTAAAGGAATCAACGTAGACTTTCAGATTTTTGCAGACGGTATCGGTTAAAATACTTGCACTCTGAGTCTCGCTGGCTAAATTAACAGCGATGGCCAACATATAAATTTTTTCCAAAATCGGATGAGTTCACGTCCACATTGGACAAGTTTTCTGATTCGCCAGTAAAGATTGGTTTCTATATCATTATGTAACTAACAAGTCAATGGAATCTCAGAGAGCTCTTCCTTTTAGCCAACGGAAGAGGAATTTTGCTATTTTGTCACAGGAATTCTACGGTTTCAAATACCAGTCTTCCTGTGTTTTGTGCTGACTTGTTCCGTTGATTTTCTAGCTTGTTCCTGTGGGAAACTTCTTTGACCTGGCTGAAGTATTCTTTGACTTTTCTGAAATATTCAGCAGCGTTTCAAACCGTAGTTGCGTTGTTACTAGGCTTAGGTTAGGCAAGTATGCTCCGATAAAGCTGAATTTTCCTTTTTGCAAAGAAAAACCGCTTTTGGTGCTCTTTTAACCGTGTACCAAACTGGCGTTTGGTCTGTCCGATGTATTCGTTGTCACAGTCATTGCAAGGAATAGAATAAATGGCGTCGGTTCGTTGTTCTTTCGTGACAGGATCCTTAGGTTTGGCGAAAATATGCCGCCTTTGCAAAAAGGAAAATTCAGCTTTATCGGAGCATAATTGCCTAACCAACCATACAATTGGGTGGGATAATTCTAAAATTATCACCACTAATCGGCGTTACCACCAGCGCCTTTGTTTGGAGGCTTGGCACATTAACTCCGCCCACGCTCCTTTAAATCGTGACGATGGCGGTCTGCTTCCTGACGCTTATTTACACCTCGTCAGAAAAAAGGCCGCTAATTAGTGATCATATAAAAGGACCTCTTGTTGCAGCGTTTAGATAACCCCTGATGAAGGCACTAGACAGGAGTGTCGAAACGTTGGGTCTATGAATTGTAACTTCTTCGGTTACATTCATTAAATCTGCAAACCAGTGTAGCATCAAACTATGTCTGATTGTCCACCTGGTTGCCGTGTGAACTTTAATATATTGAACAATGATTTATTGACGTTACATGTTGGTAAGAGTCGGATACGCATCCAATGGCAGTTTCAACTTCCACCTTTAAGCATCTGGCAAAGAGTTTGACCTCGTGAGAAGCAGGTAAGCTGACGAAACAATGGTCTTATGGCATGCATTTTATGATAATCAGAGCAGCAAAGACGAAGAGAAAGCCCACATGAAAATTGCATAAAGGTTCGCGAAAAGGGAACAGTTTTGTGTGATGAGACGTGGTGGTGAGTTTTAATCATTAATTGATGGTTAACCGATATCTTCCTTAACCCACTTGTCGCTATTTTATTACAGTCTTAGGTAGGAATTATAACTAAAGCTGAATCAGTCGAAACAAGAAACCAGTTCGTCGCCATGATTCCTAGTTCACTCATGTTCAAAGCGTACCTTCTTGGTATTCTATGCTCTCTGGGAAGTGGGAGGCAAACTCGTGCGTGTTCAGGTTAGTGTCAATACACTGTCAGTTATAGCGATGTGCTATCACCATCTTACCCTAGAGAAAACTCTTAACATAGATTTATAAAAGCTAAGAAGACCCTTTAACAGCTTGATGTTATCAAAAATATTTCTGTTGCCTCACCTCCAAATTTCATCTACGATTACGACTTTCTAACTACACCTGGGAGAAAGTGCAAGTTATACTTATATGCGTGAACTAGCAAATGCCCTACCAATTTTGCAGTAAGAAATGAAACTGACGGCCGGATTACCACGGATCATTCATCTCCCTTATCCACAAGCTTACAGGAAAACAGAATTGTGAAGCAATCCTTAAAATTTGTCTCCGTCAGGAACAGGCAAGTTCCGACGACCACCACAAATCGTATAGTCGATCTGAATCTCCTTTGTTGTCCTAGATACTTGATTTAGACCTTCATTTTAATCCTTATTTTACAGTTTGACGTGACCTCTCGTGACAAAGAATCCAGAAAATGGTACTATAAAATACTTTACTGAATTTAGAAAACCATCAAAGCGTAATTCTGTGTTCGGTGAATCGCAATTCACAGATTTATCTCATTCAGCCTAGGTTAGCCCAATTTATTTGTTCAGGTTAGCGTATTACAGCTTCCCTTACGGATTTCCGTTAGTTACAAAATCAAGGCCTCTGCAATAATCTTGTGCGTGGGTGGTCGACTGCGTTGAGAGCACATATTGGACTACGTTGTTTCTTTGCTGCCTCTTGGACAGCTAACAAATGACATGTGAGCCCACCGTACTTTTTACACCGTTGATATATAAAAAAAAAAAGTATCTTCACGGCTCTAATAAAGACAAAGTATTGCTCTAATCAAATGTCAATCATACTTAAAAGAAATCATAGGATTAACTGTCACGGCAACGGCAACGCCTATTTTCTAACCAAATAGAACAACCTTCGACCTCATATTTGTTGAACGAATATCACAGTTTACCACTCTTTTCCAAGGTCCAAAACTTTAGAACTCTCCGCTTATTGATCTTACTAGCTTTGAGCCTCTTCTGTCTATTCGGAAAAAAATGCTTACTTTTTGATAAATTAATACAATCAATTCACTTCGTAACTCGAGACCATCTATCAGTCACATTCCTAATGGTATTGTATTACATTCAACGAATTTCATGTAATTTACTATCTTTATCCTTGTTCCCATCGGAGGTTTCCTATGAGAGCCTTGTGGTTTCTGGCAACCTCCCATCCAAATACATCATTTATCATGATCTCCCAGGTTATAAAACAAAGTATTTTTAGATTCTTAGAATAATGTGAATTTGTACATACTCTCAACCCTATCCCATCGCCAGCACTCGTTTTCACATTGAAATTTCTTAATATTTAATATTTTCCCTTTAAACATTCTTTTTGGCTTATTTACCACATCTCTATTCCCCGTTGGATAGAGAGCCATTGCGTGACGAGACCAAATAACGGTTGCAAAAGAGACAACGCTTACAGCCGTTCCTTTAACAGAAAGAAAATCAAAATTATTCTTCTACAGTAAGTCGCCTCAAAAATAAAATTCCACGTAATTATACTGCGAAAAGCAGACTGAAATTGTTGTATCTCCAATAGACCCTAACCATAGGTATATGGAGAATAATACATGGCGCGCGTAAATATGGAATTTCTCTTCGAGTGTTTAACTCGTTAGCTCTAATTTGTTCGCGTAAGAACAAACCTTGAGTTTCGGCCTCCAAAGAAATTCACAGTTTTCGTACCTCATGCGCGTCTTTGCGGTCATGCCGCCGACCATTGAAACGCAGCATTTAACCCCCTGTCAAGTCTCCTGATCAAGAAGTTCATTGAAATTTGCGGGAAAAATTGATTTCGTTTGGTTGGTGAGCTTGCTCTTGCGGATTTACTAGTCAAGTATTATCGATTCTTTTCGATAGCTAATGCTAGAACTATTGCTTCTTCAAGTTGCAAGCTCTTGTTGGCCAAGCCATTGCTAGCCAAAGATTGATCGAGTTCATGGAATGACGAAAAGTACAACGCGCATCTCGATTTAAATGAACAACAACAGGACTTTTCAATTTTCTTTAATTGGAAATCTGGAATTCACAAAAATGTTGCTTCTTTTTCAGTTCCTTACATCCATGAAAAGAGAGGAAACGAGAAAAAGGTCATCAACGTGAACAGCGGGAAAGATGTGAAACTCATTTGCAATATCAGAACTACTGGTCAGACATCAAAACCAGTGTATTACTGGCTCAAAGACAATCAGGTGCTCATCTTATCAGATCATCACCGTATGAGATTAAAACCATACAGATACCTAAGGATAACAAGTGCGAAGAAAAAGGACAGCGGCATATACATCTGTGGTGCGGTGAACAACTGCGGCTGGAATACCTATACAATGCAGCTGTTTGTGGGAAGTGAGTAAAACATTTGCGACCCTCTGAGTTTTTTAAAAGTACAAATACGCACGTGATTTCTAGCGATATCCTTGAGAGAAAACCCGGGAAATTTCTTCTATACTAGTTGTGTGCGAGAAACTGATGTCAGTTTAAGTTGGAGTTGCTAAAGTAGTCAAATAAGGAGTGAAAAGATGGTAATTTTATACTTGCTATCACAAAAAGTTATTCTCAACAAAGGTGCAACGTTTTCTTCATCTTGCTTAAAATATTAAACTGAGAGATAAGTTCAAAATCCCGTCAGGACGTGAATAGGGAGATTCAAATCATGATATATGTGGCCACCGATAATTTGCATTACAAAAGCGTTTTCCATCTCGATAATATCATGTGTTTTTCTCTTTGAGGTCCAGCACTGGATCCCAACAAAATTACAGTTGGAGTTAAGACAGATGTACTTTCATTTCTAATCAGAAGAAAACAATGAAAGATGAATGTAAAAGCAATGTAGTTGATACAAGAGCTGATATTGATGTTCTTTGAAATAAAGAAAAGCCAACCGGCCTGTAGAGGAGAGTCTTAATGGAGTGACGGCTTTTACAGCCAGCGGGTAAAATTTTGGCCAAGCTTCGGCTAACGGCTAAATCTTTTGGCCGTTGTTTGGCCATCGGATAACTCCATTAAGACCCTCCGAGAAGAAGACTGACGATGAAAAAAAATAAAGAGATTATAATCTCTTCAAAAAAAAATTGATGAAGTGTTGAAGCTCATCTACAATGCCTATTAATTGAACCTTTTAAGTAAATTTTTTGTAAAATCCAATTAAAAAAACCAAATAATATTTTCCCTATGAAACTGGGTCATACATGTACAATGTGAGTAACTCTTACAGGTGGATTAGTCATACATACAAAGTAGACATTCATGTCTCCAAGAGGCGGCAAAATGTTTGACTTCCACGGAGCAAAGTTGATTTTGTTAAATGTCACAAAGAGGGACGAAGGGAAATACGCTTGCATTGTGAGAAATGCTGTTGGTTACGCAGTAACGACGATAGTTAAACGAAACTCGTCGCAGAATTAAGAGGTTTTATAATAACTCTTTGCAGAGTGCTGCCATTACTTTTTTATCACATAAATGGCAAAATATTTGAAGGAATTTCATTTGCGCACAATGTCCGCGCCATGAATCCCTTTCAATGCCGCTGAGGCTGTTCTGTGCTTCACAGGTGCTCCAAGATTTACGGTGCGGCAAATCACGATGAGGCGCAACCTTCTTGCAGTACCCGTTGGAAACTCTGTAAAGCTGGACTGTTCTGCCGATGGAAACCCTCGTCCTACCGTGAAATGGTACAAAAACGGAAAACATTTTAAGGAAAGGATAGGTGGAAACAAACTGTATTTGAGTCGATGGACAACCTTGTTGCGTTTGAAGGACTTGGTTCCCTCTGACACTGGATCATACATGTGTAATGTGAGCAACTCATACGGGTGGATTAGTCATACATACAAAGTAGACGTTCATGGTAAGAAGAAAAATCCTTTAAATTTTTCTGGCTAATGCAGACTCTGAGGAGTATTCACGGTTTTCTTTAGTTGAAAAAAATAATCTTCAAACTCTTGTGATCAATGTAAATCCCATTAAAAATAGTCAAATTAAAATAAACATTGCAAGTAACGAAACAATGGATGTTTTTGGTTTAGATTGACAGTATTGACAGTACTCTCTTTTCAATATTTTAGAACGAACTCGTGCTGAACCAGTTGTTCTACCCATGGAAAATGTCACAGTTTATCGAGGAGAGAATGCCACCTTAACATGCAAAGCATCAAGTGATTCCATGCCTCATTTCCAGTGGCTAAGGTGGTTTCCTCTCCGTTCCAACGGTTCGGCCAACAGTTCGGCAGATGATTCAATTGAAACTCCTCACTACGAAATCGTGAATAAAGAAGATACAGACCAACATGTAATTTTGCCTCCAAGTGACGGCAGAATGTTTGATTTCCACGGAGCGAAGTTGACTTTGTTTAATGTCACAAAGAAGGACGAAGGAAAATACGCTTGCAATGTGAGAAATGCTGTTGGTTACGCAGTCGAACATACTTACATCATTGTCCAAAACATGGGTAGGTAAAACCATAATTAGATTACTAATTCTTAATAGTTTTAGTTATCATTAACTTTATTATTTTCAGATTATTAGGGGCTTTCTGTGATGTGCTCATAGCAATATGTTATTATTGTTGTTCTTAATTCTCCGACGCGTTTCATCCAACTGTCGTGAACTTCTTCAGTGAGTTCTACGAGTTAATACGAAACGCCTGTATTTATAAGCCATAGCCAGCGGCTATTACTAGGGACAGTGACCTATAGGCTTGGCTTGACTTGCGAACGGGAACAGGCGAAGTTATGAAAAATTTTTAACATTTTTAAAGCAAGGTGAGAAATATATGTAGGGGCCACGGTTTTAGTTTAGTGTTAACTTGTAAAACTTAGCGAACAAGTCGACGATAGTTAAACGAAACTGGTCGCAGAATTAAGAAGTTTTTTAATTTCTCTTCGCAGAGTGCTACCATTACTTGTTTATCACATAAATGGCAAAATATTTGAGGGAATTGCATTTGCGCGCGATGTCCGCGCGATGAAACCCTTTCAATGCCGCTACAAATGTCAAAACAAACGTAACAGTTAAATGGATTCATTGAACACTTTATTCTAAAAATACATGTACAGTTATCAACGTTACATGGCTTTATTCAGTTACATTGCAATCAATAAATCTTTGCCTCAAACAGCAAAAAGGCTCAGTTAACATCAAATAATCATGTCCTCTTGATTACCAAAAGTGCCCTCGTGATTAAGAAAAAATGTCCTCTGTCTCAGCCAATCTGCTCTTAGTAATTTTGCCTCGCATGTGATAAAACTCTGAACCGTCACCATATGACCAGTACTGTAGAACACTTAAAATAAAATATTGTTCAGACTGTTACCTAAAATGTGTTAGAAAGGGGGAGATTCCGGACGGTTGTCGAGAAGTTCAGTGCTCAAATGCTGAGGCTATTCTGTGCTTCACAGGTGCTCCAAGATTTACGTTGCGGCAAATCACGATGAGGCGCAACCTTCTTGCAGTACCCGTTGGAAACTCTGTAAAGCTGGACTGTTCTGCCGATGGAAACCCTCGTCCTACCGTGAAATGGTACAAAAACGGAAAACATTTTAAGGAAAGGATAGATGGCTACAAACTGTATTTGAGTCGATGGACAACCTTGTTGCGTTTGAAGGACTTGGTTCCCTCTGACGCTGGATCATACATGTGTAATGTGAGCAACTCATACGGGTGGATTAGTCATACATACAAAGTAGACGTTCATGGTAAGAAGAAAAATTCTTTAAATTTTTCTGGCTAATGCAGACTCTGAAGAGTACTCACGGTTTTCTTTATCTGAGAAAAATAATCTTCAAACTCTTGTGATCAATGTAAATCTCATTAAAAATAGTCAAATTAAAATAAACATTGCAAGTAACGAAACAATGGATGTTTTTGGTTTAGATTGACAGTATTGACAGTACTCTCTTTTCAATATTTTAGAACGAACTCGTGCTGAACCAGTTGTTCTACCCATGGAAAATGTCACAGTTTATCGAGGGGAGAATGCCAACTTAACATGCAAAGCATCAAGTAATTCCATGCCTCATTTCCAGTGGCTAAGGTGGTTTCCTCTCCGTTCCAACGGTTCGGCCAACAGTTCGGCAGATGATTCAATTGAAACTCCTCACTACGAAATCGTGAATAAAGAAGATACAGACCAACATGTAATTTTGCCTCCAAGTGACGGCAGAATGTTTGATTTCCACGGAGCGAAGTTGACTTTGTTTAATGTCACAAAGAGGGACGAAGGAAAATACACTTGCATTGTGGGAAATGCTGTTGGTTACGCAGTCGAACATACTTACATCATTGTCCAAAACATGGGTAGGTAAAACCATAATTAGATTACTAATTCTTAATAGTTTTAGTTATCATTAACTTTATTATTTTCAGATTATTAGGGGCTTTCTGTGATGTGCTCATAGCAATATGTTATTATTGTTGTTCTTAATTCTCCGACGCGTTTCATCCAACTGTCGTGAACTTCTTCAGTGAGTTCTACGAGTTAATACGAAACGCCTGTATTTATAAGCCATAGCCAGCGGCTATTACTAGGGACAGTGACCTATAGGCTTGGCTTGACTTGCGAACGGGAACAGGCGAAGTTATGAAAAATTTTTAACATTTTTAAAGCAAGGTGAGAAATATATGTAGGGGCCACGGTTTTAGTTTAATGGTAACTTATTAAACTTCCTGAACAAGTCGACGATAGTTAAACGAAACTGGTCGCAGAATTAAGAAGTTTTTTAATTTCTCTTCGCAGAGTGCTACCATTACTTGTTTATCACATAAATGGCAAAATATTTGAGGGAATTGCATTTGCGCGCGATGTCCGCGCGATGAAGCCCTTTCAATGCTGCTACAAATGTCAAAACAAACGTAACTGTTAAATGGATTCATTGAACACTTTATTCTCAAAATACATGTACAGTTATCAACGTTACATGGCTTTATTCTGTTACATTGTAATCAATAAATCTTTTCCTCAAACAACAAAAAGGCTCAATTAGCATCAAAGAATCATGTCCTCTTGATTACCAAAAGTGCCCTCGTGATTAAGAAAAAATGTCCTCTGTCTCAGCCAATCTGCTCTTAGTAATTTTGCCTCGCATGTGATAAAACTATGAACCATCATTATATGGCCAGTACTGTAGAACACTTAAAATAAAATAATGTTTAGACTGTTGCCTAAAATGTGTTAGAAAGGAGGAGTTTCGGGCGGTTGTCGAGAAGTTCAGTGCTCAAATGCTAAGGCTGTTCTGTGCTTCACAGGTGCTCCAAGATTTACGGTGCGGCAAATCACGATGAGGCGCAACCTTCTTGCAGTGCCCGTTGGAAACTCTGTAAAGCTGGACTGTTCTGCCGATGGAAACCCTCGTCCTACCGTGAAATGGTACAAAAACGGAAAACATTTTAAGGAAAGGATAGGTGGCTACAAACTGTATTTGAGTCTATGGACAACCCTGTTGCATTTGAAGGACTTGGTTCCCTCTGACGCTGGATCATACATGTGTAATGTGAGCAACTCATACGGGTGGATTAGTCATACATACAAAGTAGACGTTCATGGTAAGAAGAAAAATCCTTTAAATTTTTCTGGCTAATGCAGACTCTGAAGAGTACTCACGGTTTTCTTTATCTGAGAAAAATAATCTTCAAACTCTTGTGATCAATGTAAATCCCATTAAAAATAGTCAAATTAAAATAAACATTGCAAGTAACGAAACAATGGATGTTTTTGGTTTAGATTGACAGTATTGACAGTACTCTCTTTTCAATATTTTAGAACGAACTCGTGCTGAACCAGTTGTTCTACCCATGGAAAATGTCACAGTTTATCGAGGAGAGAATGCCACCTTAACATGCAAAGCATCAAGTGATTCCATGCCTCATTTCCAGTGGCTAAGGTGGTTTCCTCTCCATTCCAACGGTTCGGCCAACAGTTCGGCAGATGATTCAATTGAAACTCCTCACTACGAAATCGTGAATAAAGAAGATACAGACCAACATGTAATTTTGCCTCCAAGTGACGGCAAAATGTTTGATTTCCACAGAGCGAAGTTGACTTTGTTTAATGTCACAAAGAGGGACGAAGGAAAATACACCTGCATTGTGGGAAATGCTGTTGGTTACGCAGTCGAACATACTTACATCATTGTCCAAAACATGGGTAGGTAAAACCATAATTAGATTACTAATTCTTAATAATCTTAGTTGTCATTAACTTTATTATTTTCAGATTATTAGGGGCTTTCTGTGATGTGCTCATAACAGCTGTTTTTCTTACCACATTTTGACGTCATCTGTGATATGTTACTGAACAGACGCACGGCAACATGGAATTTATTTGTTAACCTTTTAACCCATAAGAGTGACTAGCATATAATTTCTCCCTATAATATCACCCTTGAATCAAACACATAGGTAATGATAATAGAAGAAATGATCACAAACTAAAGCAGCTCTTGATTATCAAGAAAATTCCCTTTGTCAGCACCTTAGGAAATGTTTAGTGAATAGTGTGGAGAAACGGATACTGATGTTGGGGGTAAAGAATTACTTCGTTATGTGTAATTCATTGTCCATGAATCCCTTGTAAACAACTACGCAGTGGAACATGCTTACATCATCGTTAAACAAAGCCGTAGATAAGAATGATTAATACACTGAGACTCCCAGAAGCCTAGGGCTCCCATTTTCAAGGCTTTTTTCTTCCTTTTTATGATAAAGTATTTCGTAATTGTTATTTGGAATTTATTGTCAGTGAATCCTTGGTTAACAGTGATGTTTTCCTCGAGTTTCCTTCTTCACAGGAATCATGACAGCTCGATCTAGGTTTTCTCCGCTAATAATGATATTAATAATAATGATAATAGCAATAATATGACCTTACGTCAGCTTTTCCATTGGAAGGCTTTTTATCTGAAATATCTGAGTATAAATACAAATACAAATATAAATGAATAACATCTAGAAACCATGGATCATATATCGTGGAAAAAAATTAGTTGTGGCTAAGTAAATAGAGGAAATTTTCGAAAGTAAAAAAAAGTGTTTAGTCAGGACAGTTACGACTTGTTACAGGAAGTTCATCAAATAGAGATGTTTGAAGTTTTCTTCCCACATTAGATTTTCGTCGACTGATATGTGTTCCTAGCAGCTTTATCCTAACTGTGAAAGGCCCCTACCTTTTGTTCCAGGTCATAGCTGAAATACGCTCCAAGAATTTTAATGGTGACGCAAATATTGTTTTGGAAAGTTTACTTTCTGTGAAGTACCGTTTCTACCGGCAAATATTTCCGATTTCCCTCTTTTTTCAGATTCCCCTACTTCTATCTAAATATGAATCAAAAATGAATTTAAAATCTCCTCTCAATACAATTAGACTTATCAACTGTCCTCATTGCGTCTGAAGCGGATTTGAAAAATCCACTTCGTTCAGCGCATTTATTTGGAGCAGAAATGTTGATTAGTATAAATGCAGATTCTTGCATCGAAGCTTGCAGTACAAGATATGACGCTGATCATTAAGCTATGACGATAATAAATCTAGTTGTTCCCTAACTAGGATAAGCACACCTGAGCTATGTCCTGAATTTCGAACGGAAGGAAGGTGTGACAGAGAGATAGTGGAAGGAGTGAATTTTGAGTTATAACAACAACTCAGAAATGGCATTCAGCCATTTTCCGAATTGAAGAAAGGAAATTAACGAATGAATCAAATAAAAAGTAGATGTGCACTGCGTACATTTAGGTATCCTGTATTCTATATCTCTCTTAACGAGACATGAGAACTGCTTCTACAGTCTCAGTTCCCCATTGAGCACTACAATGCACAACATATCACGTAAAATGCGTGCAGTACTTGGTCAAGAAGTCTTGAACCCTCGATTATTGCAATATCTTGTTAACTGAAGAGGAAAATATCCTTTAAAAATCCGAGATGTTGCTTCATTCAGAACCCTGAGTACGGCAAGCTGTGCATGTTATCAATGTGGGCCTTGAGTTGATCATTCGTTACATTTATTATTACCTTTCAGCCCCTCCCAGTTGTGACCTCAACGGATTAAAGTGTTCTTTCACCCCAGACGAGTTTGCAGACTTGAATGGAACGCATTACAATGACAGCACTCTTTTTCCTGAGACAGAACACATTTCTAATCTCACTGGAAACGGTATGGAAAGCTTTGGTACATATTCACTGTGATGAACATGACGTAAACCGTGAAATTCTTAAAACTCTGCTGAGAGAGTGAGATAATGAAATAAGTTGAGTCTCTGCCTCTTTAGTCCATCATGCTTCCAAATAGATAAATATCGTTGAAGCTAAAGGAAACTTCTGGATCGTCGAGCGTAAACTGCTACCATCTTCCATGAAATGTCTAAGACATGCTCCTATGTTTTAGTGAATAGCTGTAATTCCTTTCAGATTAACGTCCCTCTCTCTCATATTGAAATATTGCGGTTATTGTGGATGGAAATCGCCCATATTTTTGGTACTTGAACCACAATTTGATAATTTAGGCACCGGGCTCATAGGAAAGTAAAACCTCATTTGCGACGCAATGAAGCTTAAAGTGGAGAATTGACGCCTAATGCGAGTGAATGAGGGTGAAGAGTCCGGAGTGCGTCCATCTCCTCTAACCTATAGTAGGAAAACACCAACTTATATCGTCAAATCATACACTCAATTTCACCTTGAATTTTTCTTGTCAGGTTTACTTAACCTTCTTTTATTCTTGACGATTAGATATATATAGAATAATACATGGCGCGCGTGGATATGGAATTTCTCTTAGAGTGTTTAACTCGATAGATCACGAGTGAGATGTCGAGTTGAACACGAGAAGAGAAATTCCATATCTACAAGCAACCAAGTATTATTTTGTTTATCATATAAAGACAATAGCCCTTTACTGAGAAGAAAAGCCGACTTCATTTATGAATGAATATAAATGATCGACAACCCTGAATAACAATCGTAGAGTGCGTTGGCGCTAACTCCTAAGATGGAAAAATGCGTTTAATCATGATTACAAAAAAAATTTTTAATTTACAAAATTCTCATCCATTGACTTTGTCTTTACCGACAGAAGAAGTCTTTCAGGTAAACGACCAAAAATCGTCGATTTTCATTCTCAGTCGAGAGAAATACTAACACCAAAGCCACTGAATACGTAACTTTCGGTTTTTCTTTTAGTATATTGGTTTTCTTCCACTTCTAGGAAAGTTTGAACCCCACAGTCTGTCAGCGATACGGATTTTTTAGCGTTTTAGCTGCCGTTATTCGAGAAAGCTCCGACAAACCACTTGTATTGAGAATCGTGAACGCTTTGCCATTCATTCATCAACCTGACCTAGCTGATTGGCTATATCAGCACACGTGAAAAAAATACGATTTTTTTTACGTGTGTTGTTACGGCTTTTCTCTGGGCCGGAAATCCCTAGAAAACACCGCAGTATATGTGATAAAATAACTTTGATATGCAATTCGTTCTTCAGAAAAGAAGACTCGTGATGTTCTTGTCTCTGGAACCGTCTTGGCATGCGTGTTAATTACTATGGCCGCCTTAATCATTATCTACTGGCGCCGTCGATCCCGAAATAAGAGACCCTTATTGTCGAGATCACCGTCAGGTAAGTCTAACTTTAAATATTGGGGTTGGTAGCCTATATTTTAGAGGTTCAGAGCTCTTTTTCAAATATCCCTAGTTTGTATAGGGTTTGAACTGAAACTTGAAAGCTTATATTTTTTCAGAAAAAACTCTCTCCAAAAAGTCCCTTTTTTAAATTATGAATTTCAATCTAGCTAGCTGTAACATTACGTTAGTAGTGTTTTCACTTGGTACTGAGTATAAACTTGACTCCAATAATTTTGAACATAGAACTCTCAGCTAACAATGCATCCTTATTTTTGCTTTCAGAACTTGAATTTGAGTACGATGCGTTCGTTATTTTCAGCTCTCAAGACTCGGATTGGGTGATTAAAACTCTAATTCCAACTCTAGAAGAAAAACATGATTTTAAATGCTGTGTACACTACAGAGATTTCGTTATTGGCGTACCCTTTCGTGAAAATATGGTCAACAGTGTTTACAGCTCAAGAAAAACAATTGCTGTCGTGTCAAAGAACTTTTTCAATAGTAATTATTGTGGTTCTGAAATGGATTACGCCCTCCATCGACTTGTGGAAAGGAGAGATAATAGTGTGGTCGTGATCAAACTTGATGATGTTGACAGTAGAAAACTTCCCAGGGAGCTGCAAAAAAGGAGTTATATTGACTATCCACAGAATGTTGAAAAGGATCACTGGGAAAGAAAACTGGTAAGTTGTTTAACGACTTCCAACGACTTGTGACAGAAATCGATTTTATAATAACGTCTCCAAGAGTTAAGTAGCTAATCAATTTCTTTTCAATCATGATTGAATGGAAATTAATTAGGTGCTACATGCATTTTTCACTATTACCATCTTGAGAAGTTGAGTTCACATTTATTAATTTTGTTAACATGCCATCTTTCAAAATCTTTAACACATGTTTGTCTGTTCATTGTTTTTCCACCCGAAAAGATACTTATTTTTGAGTTTCATAAATGTTGTTGACAGAAGTTTTGAATTTCACTTGTTCAAGGGAAAATTGTGACTTGCATGTAGCTCTTTCAGCAAGTTTTTTTTAAATGTGCAATTTTAGCAGTTTCTTAACATAAGCATGCATGATAATCCATTTTGAGGAAACTGTTATTAAAGACCCATGTTCATCTAAAATGTAGACAAATTGCTGCTGAGTATGAGGGTGGCATAAAGATTTTATAGTTAACTGTTTCGAAGTGACGAAAGTGTGCAAAGCAGTTAGGTAAACATAAATGGGTGTAAGACAAGCTGTAGTTAATAGTGTTTTACAATGGAGATACTGACTTTCTTTTAAATTGTGGTAAGAATGATCAAAAATTTTTCCTTTGCTTTCTCAAAGAAGTCACTGTAACACAAATACATGTCAAAATTTTATCAAGCTATCCGGAATAGTTATTTAAAAACTATTGTATACAATTTTTTTTTAAAAGATTAATAAACCATTTGTGGACCACTGCTGGTGTTTTGTATAGATAATTATGTGAATGTATGTAAATGTTGCAAGTTTGGGTGTCTGGAAAGGTGTGTTCTGAAAACACAACTAAAGGTGTGCTTTGTTACACATCTAGAGGTGTGACAAAAGATATCTTTCTGCAGAACACTTCTTAAGGTGTGTCAAATTTAGGACAAGCGTAAAACACAACTTAAGGTGTGTTTTGGGAACACATACAGGTGTGTTCAGAAAGCTTACCAGGGTGTTTTCGGGTAACACATGAAAAGGTGTGTATTTATACACATCTCTATGTGTGTTGTTTTGAGGATAAAAAAAGGTGTGTTGCAGTAACACATCCTATTTACGAGTGCACCTTTGTATATGCGGTCACTTACTTGAACCGTGGTGGAGTTCGAGTATATGAATAGAATTTTTTTACTTGTGCTGAATCAATTTTCCCTCTATACTTTCCTTCCAATTCCTTGTGCTATCAAGTGAGATATCGCCTATGAATAAAAAATTCTTTTTTTCGGACGAGGAAACAATCTTTCGCGATACATTTTTTCCTGGCGACTTGCAAAGTTTGCCCTGTGGCGATCCCAGAAATCTTTGCGAAAGCACAAGGATCTCGAAAGTCGAACTAAGCTAACTTAATATCCCATGGGAAACAAAAATGGTTCGAGTTAGCGGGGGTTTCGAGTAATCTTTATTGGTATTGAATTTCAATTGTCGTGTTAACAACGAATAAGGAATCTTGTTTTCACCGCTCTTACACGACCAACAGTCATTTATGTACATTAAATCTGCCTTAAAAGACCTTCTTGATAAGAACGTTTAGTTTTTAAAGTTTAGTTAATACGTACATTCATTATGTTTTCATGAATGTTATCACGTTCGTATCAATCTTAGTTAAAGATTGGGACGTGTCAATCAAGTCCATTAAAGGTTTTTCTTCGTTAACATATTGTAAAGAATATGCAAAATACTGTAAAAAGATCAGTCATTATGATATTCGCTATGTCATAAGGACCGTTTCGGTCTTTTGGAGAAAACGGAAGCTGGTTTGCGGTATATGAAGAGCAAAATAAGGTGGTTCATGGAATTTTCGACTCCTTACAATTCACCTTCCCTTGTGCGATAATGAACTTAAGGTTCACTTTATAATTACTATGTGAGACGCATAAATAAGAGTTTTCCTGGAAGGTCATATCGTGGTTGTAGACGCAAACGCCAATCACTCGTATTCAAACTTTACTAGAACAAACTTCCGTTCATCGAAAATTTAGCAAACTTGACATGACACATTGTTGAACACGGTAACTGAAAATAACAAATTTACAAACACGCGAATGAGCATAAAATAACTTACAACGTATGAGTGAAAGTACTTGAAAACGACAAAGCGAAATAAACGAGGATACTTACAAGACGAATGTGACCAAACCAAAAGACGAAAAAATGAAACCCAAAGCACGATATGTTCCGATATGTTCCGATATGTTCCGCAAACTAGACAACTAACCAGATAAAATACGCGCGAACAGAATATATACGATATGCAAATATATATAACAATTTTTCTTTTCTCCATAATTTTAGCGTTAGTAATTTTTCCACCAATACAAGGCGTGCTGTGAGACGAGACGTCAATGGATCAGTCTATAAATTTATTTCCAATCTTCAAAATAACCCCAAGGTTTAAAAGAAATATCGTAAATTATTGTCCAAACAAGAGAGAAAATAGACTTTTGACAAGTCCGAGTTTCCTTTCATGATAAACATTTAATAACCCCTTAGTGTCTCACTTTTTTCCAGAACAACTGCAGATTTTGGACATTGTTACATTGCTTTTCCTCAGTTCGGCTACCATGTACGTTTCCTTTCCACTTGATGCTCCTAATCCTTTAACTCCCATGACTGACCAAGACAGAATTTCTCCATGTAATATCAATACAATATCAAGCAGACAAGTGATGAGAATAAAGAAAATAGAAATTAAGGGAATATAAGTTGATCCAATAACAAATTCTCCAAACAAACATCACGAGAACTGTATGGCAGACAGTAAGGAGAATTACTGATGAGATCTTGAGAGTAGGTTAAGGGTTGAGCATTTTCGAGAGTCGAAAGCTTTCCTTCCGATAATTATTGTTCATTTGCAATTGTTTCTTCTGCTAGAATGCACTTATTAAGTAGCGCAGGCGCTTATTGATGGGAAAGGTAGAACAGCTAGCAAAATGCACATATTAATAGCACTGTAAAATTCCCTGAGGTTTCGCGTAATTGGACAGAGAACGACTCAAAGTAAATACAGCTTGGCTTATGGTCTGCATGCTTGAGAGAGTGTCTACTTCGGCCTAAACACGAAAAATAGCATTTGGAATGACGTGGTATGGAGATATCTCATTTTAATTTAGACATGATTTTGGTTGGTGTGTTGTTTCTTTATTTGGTCTTTGATATTATTTGTTGCGTTAAGAAGAACTTATCGCACAAAAAGGACACGAATAACAATCGCAGTCCAAGGATTCGTCAATTTAAATCACGCTTTTGTGGACAATGCTTTGTGTCATTTTCAAGACAGGGAAGCTCGCGCCATTTTGTTCAACTACGGATTCCGGCGAGAGGCTGAAGTCGTACACAGGCAAAGCCGTTCGGATTTCAAGCAATTTTTTTCTATCAGATGAGACAGTACGTATTGCGTTTAAAGTTAACCAAATATGTCAGTCACATAAAATATTAAAACATGCCTATCAATGCTTCGATAGAAAGAAAGAAACGCGGTGAAAAGCCGAGTTTGGAGTATTCATTTTTTTTATTCGATGTCATCTTGTAGTACATGTATGTATGTTGCAAAAGCAACATTAATAACCTCCTAGTCAAGCCACATGCTATTTTGACCAATTCAACAATGACAATTTAGAGACAACATTGCGGTTTTTTCAAAGTACGGGCGGTTAAAGGCGTAATTAAACGAGACCACAACAAGACATTCTTAATAATCAGGACCATGTCACCACCGAGCCATTGTAACTTTGGGTTTGATGTCACTGAAATCTGATCTAAAGACGGCTACTGACATCATTTTGTAACCACATTGTTACTTGGACCTATAAAACGCACCGTCCAGGAGAAAAAAAGTCGAAATTGTTTATCCGATCATCCGTGATATTAATTGTCAAACGAGAAAGAGCCTCCTTCGATGGTCAATTTAGTATCAGTATGTGATCAACCAAAAGACACAGACGCGTTCTTTTTTCACAAAACTATGTGTTCAAACAGATTTGAATTTTAAAACCGAGCGTGAAAAACTGTTCATGACACAAAAACCTAACCATAAACATATAATCGGTATTTCGATCTCTTTTCATTTTTGATCCTACATCAGAAGTTTCCAGTAAATTATCTTCCAACTGTTTTACTACGTCCAATAGAAAGAAGAAATTCGATCAATTTCCATTCACCAGCACCGTGAAAGCATAAAAAAGAGTGAAATATCTAGACCCATAGACATCGCTCGATATGAGTTAGATTCTTAGGGTTTTTTGTTTTTTTTAAGCAGACAGATTATTACTGTAAAAAATCATTTCTCTGGTACATGTTTCTTTTAAAAGGGGCCATAATTAGTATAGGTAATTGAATGGGTAAAATTAAGGATTAATATCGCTTGTGTTTGCAGAAGTAGCTGAAATTGCCCTCGTTGCTGCGCGAAAACACAAGTGATATTAATCCTTAATTTTACGAGGACCCATTGCGATTACTTGTTAATGAAATAGAGGGAAAATTACTGAATTTCTGAATGCGCTCTTGAGATATCAGTCACAGGAAGCCATTTAATGTTGACAAAGAATCAATCACCACAAACGTACGAATGAGCTGAATGAAATTTTATTTTTGCACAAACATACCAGGACATTGAAAACCAGGCCTGCTAACAAACTTTCAACTTTGAAAATATAAAGTCAGTGCTTTTTCAAACAAAGTTCAAGCGTTCAAAACGCATTCAGATCACTCAGAATCTGATTCTTCGATGGAGACATGCTTGTATTCTCGCCTTACATCAATTGTGCCCTTATGAACGGCATCATTCCCGGCGAAGTTCAAGGTGACGCTGCAGTGACTGAAATTGTAAACATCGCTCTCATACTCTGCTAAATTTGCTTGGAAGTTTCTTTCATTCGCCCACTTTTTGAAAACTTTCTTCCAGTACTCCATGCTTTTCTTCCAGTACTCCATGCTTTTCTTCGTGTTTTCATTTTTCACTCGTCTTTTAATTCATCCATATATTCCTCGTCAATTATCTCGAAACGTGACGCCATTGTTACAGAGAATTTTTTCACATCTACTCGATAGCATAAGCTGTTGCTAGGCAACCTGAGGACCAATCGTGAGCAAGTAACTTTGCCCCCTTCACAAGCAAAATTAAGAAAGAAATACCCTCTTCATTGATCAATCAGCATTCAGTAATTTTGCCCTCTATGTTATCATAGAACTAAAAAATGGCTACAACGTCAGTCATTTAAATGAGAATGAAAAACAAGCGGTTGAGCAAAAAGTGGTCAAAAAGACATGAAATTGTCCCGGAGGGGTTTAAACCTTTCAGAATGAATAGAAAAGCAGTTAGAGGGCCCATTTCATCGTGGAGATAAAACAACGTTCCAGGAATATCCTACTGGGTCAGTAAGTATATTTCCGTAGATTTTGAGTGGAGAGCTGCGCAATCTGAAAGATCCTCATCAATGCTAGTGTTGCTGAATTCGAGGAGGGTTTAAAAAGAGCTCTTTGTCCGACCAAATCGGTGGACGATGAATTTCGTCCTGAAATACAACAACGCCAACCACCACAACTGAACGAGTTTAAAATAGCACATAACTCTGGACGAGAAAAATTGAAACAGCTGAAAGTTAAAAAGTCCACTGGACCAGATAACATTGCACCCATACTTTTAAAGGCTGCAAAAAATGCTACTGTGCCATCTCTAGTTAATCTATGTGAATTTAGCATTGAACGTGGAACTGTGTATCCTATGTGGAAGACTGCGAGGCTTACACCAATTTTCGAAAAAGACGATGATACACACTGTAGAAACCACCGACCGGTTTCTTTATTAAGTGTTCCTAGTAAAATGATGGAATCAGAACGCTGTTTCAACAGTCATTGTTGACCAGCTCACATTTCAATTGCTTTTGAGAACAAAATCTTTCTTTAAGATAACAATCTATTAAAAAATTTTGATCGTGAAAGTGTGATGCTTGACAAATATTCGCTACTGTGCTAACACATCAATTCTCAGCTGCTAAGTAGGAGACCATCGTTAAGGTGATTTTAAGTTTTTGCTTTCAGTTTTTTTTTCAACTGAGAGGAGAATATACATGACAACCTGTTCAAATATAAAGTTCTGTCTCGTCTCCTTATCATGAAAAGTTTATATCGCTTTTAAGTTTAATTGTGGTTGAAATGAATTGACCATAGTTAAGTTTGGTTGATAATTTAGCAACCGGTGGAGTTGGGTGTACTTTCGCGTACTTTTAGCTTCAGTTCGTGTAGTTGGTGAACTCAACCAAGTTACCTGGCATTGGGTGAGCTTTAATCTAGCACTCTGTAGTTCAGATGGTAGTCCGGTCACAGTTTTTCACAGCTTGTATAATTTTGTGTTGTTTAACGTAGTTTGGTGTCGTCTGGTGTTAGTTGATGTAGTTTAGTGTTGTTTGGCGTAGTTTGGTGTTGTTTAGTATAGTTTGGTGTATTTTGGTTTAGTCATTGGTGTAGTCTGGTGAAGTTTGGTGTAAGTTGGTTTAGTTTGGTGTAGTTTGGTGTAAGTTGGTGTAAGCTGGTGTAGTTTGGTGTAGTTTGATGAAGTCAGGTATGGTTTGATGAAGTTTAGTGTAGTTTCGTGAATTTTGGTGTAGGATGCTGCGCGTAGCTTAAGTTCTTCAGCATAGTTTGGTGTAGTTTAATATAGTATTCTTCAGTCAGTTTGTCTTAGCTATTTCTAGTTTGGAGTATTTGGTTAATTATTGGTTAATTAGCATCGGCAGAATTGTTTCAAGTTTGTAGTTCGTAAAGAAACTCTGCTCACCTGTAATGGCAATAGAAATAGCTCCCTGTAAACACGGTTGGTGACTTAACGTTCTCAAGGTGTTTGACTGCGAATGATGATTCCTGAAGTATCAGTTTCTTTCATAAAGGTATTTAGGGCTGCTCGCAATGCATTTCTGTTCCTTTTCAGACAAAAAAATTGCGTCATTTCTCAAGCAGTCTTGCCCACGAACCGTAAAGGCCACAAAAGTTCATAAAATTTATACACGGAAAATCGGCAAACCGCAATGAACGCAAAAAGCAGAAAACCGAAGTTTTTTTACTGTTGCAGAATCGGCTCCACCGCGTTAGGAAAAACATCTGCGGACCGTTGGTTCGACAATCAATAGGACTCTACCTTTCCGATTTCTTCTTTTTATTTACGATCCATACAATATCCGAACTTTCTACATTCAATTGTGATTGTCGGAATGAACGAACAATAATTTATTGACGTTACATGTTGGTAAGAGTCGGATACGCATCAAATGGCAGTTTCAACTTCCACCTTTAAGCATCTTGCACAGAGTTTGACCTCGTGAAAAGCAGGTAAGCTGACGAAACAATGGTCCTATGGTTTGTTTTCGTGGGACCACCAAACGTCGCTTTCAAAGCAAAGCCTGGAAGTTTGGTGAGTTTTGATCATTAATTAGTGGTTTACCGATATCTTCCTTATGTCGTCGTTGTCGCTATTTCATTACAGTCTTAAATCGTAATTATTGATAAAGCTGAATCAGTCGAAACAAGAATTCGATTCGTCGCCATGATTCCTAGTTCACTCATGTTCAAAGCGTTCCTTCTTGGTGCTCTACGCTCTCTGGAAAGTGGGAGGCAAACTTGTGTGTGTTCAGGTTAGTGTCGATACACTTTCAGTCAAATATTTTCCACTGTCAGTTGTATGCGATCACCATCTTACCCTTGAGAAAACTCTTAACATAGATTTATAAAAGCTAAGAAGACCCTTTAACAGGTTGATGTTATCAACAAAATTTCGGTTGCCTCTCCTCCAAATTTCATGATAAGGCGCAGAGGTCTGATTGTCTACGCTTACGACTGTCTAATTACACCTGGGAGAAAGTGCAAGTTACACTTAAAAGCGTGAACTAGCGAATGCCCCACCAATGTCGCAGTCGGAAATGAAACTGACGGCCGGATTACCCCGTAATTCACTTCACTTATCCACGAGCTTACAGGAAAACAGAATAGTGAAGCAATCCTTAAAATTTGTCTCCGGAAAGAACACGTAAGTTCCGACGACCACCGCAAATCATAAAGTACATTTGAGTCTCCTTTATTGTCCTTGATACTTAATTTAGGCCTTCATTTTAATCGTAATTTTACAGCTTGACGTGAGTTCTCGTGACAAAGAATTCAGAAAACGGTACTATTAAATACTTTGCTGAATTTAGAAAACAATCAAAGCGTAGTTCTGTGTTCAGTGAATCGCAATTCACAGATTTATCTAATTCACCTTAGGTTAGCCCAATTTCTTACTTCAGGTTAGTGCATCAAAGCTTCCCTTAAGAATTTCCGTTTGTTACAAAATCAAGGCTTCTGCAATAGGCTTGCGCGTGCGCGGTCGACTGCGTTGAGAGCTCATATTAGACTACGTTGTTTCTCTGCTGACTCTTAGACAGCTAACAAATAATATGTGAGCCCACCACATACTTTTTACACAGTTGATTTATAAAAAATGTATCTTCACGGCTCTAATTAGGACTAAGTATCGCTCTATTCAAATGTCAATCATACTTAAAATAAATCACTGGATTAACTGTCACTGCAACGGCAACGGCAACGGCAACGGCAACGGCAACGGCAACGCCTATTTTCTCAACAAAATAGAATAGCCTTGGACCTCATATTTGTTGAACGAATATCAAACAGTTTCATTTTCCAAGGTCTTAAACTTTGGAAGTCTCTGCTTATTAATTTTACTAGTTCTGGGTCTTCTGTCTTTTCGGAAAAAATGCTTACTTTTAGAAACAATTGAAACAGACACACTAAATCAAAGCCCAAAATCTTATCTTTTTTTTCTACCAGCACTGCCTCTAAATTTATTTTGTAGTGTTCGTAGAAAGTAATCAAGGTGCCGTTTTGTAAAGTACTCAAGTAATTATAAGTAGGCGAGTGTGCTTAATTAGTGAATTGCGAGTTTCGTATTGTAATTTATTGTAAGTCATGTTCTGTTTAGTAGTATGATGTAAGTAACATTAAGCTGTAATAAAAGTGACTGTTAGTAAGTGACTGTTAGTATAAGTAAGAAATAAGTACTAGTGTCTAATCCAATAAGCACAGTAATGTAATAAGAAGAGTGAAGTCGAGTAATGTAAGTTTAGTTCTGTTCAAATGTTTCTTCAACTTCTTCTTCTTTAACTTTTTAAGCATTTTTGCTAAAGTTAGCAAACTACTTACATTGCGTAACTTGTTGCCGACGTCTCTGTCACAGTAGAAAGGGTCGTTTCCAAGCTTTGAAAATGAAGTTGGAAAAGACTCTTTTTTCGAAAAAAATCTGAGATGCCTTGCCGTTATTTCCCCCCCTTTTTTTTTTTTTCTCTTTTACAAAGTTTACTTTTGAGTTCCTCTTTCATGTGGCTTTTTGTTTACAATCAGTTGGTGCCAAAATCATTCTCAAGTCCTTTTAGGTCTGGCAATATTACGTACTCATTCGACTGAACTACGTACTTCGCTTGAAGTGAAGTGATGTTGTGTCGGCCTTTTATCGTTGCGGACGAGCTCGCTCGGCCTTTCTTCACCTGCCAATAACAGAGACCGGAAGCTATGATCAACATGACGACCACGCCCACTGAAACTGCGATTACAGCCGCCGGGTACCTTATTCTATCAGTCCAACCCATCGATGTCTTTGAATCTGCTTCACTTTCAGAACTGATGGATGTCAGGCTAACAGCAGAACCTACACAAGAATGAACCAAACATATTTATCTCTCCATCTTAAGTGAATTCCCTCCTTTCCCCCAGCACCACTTCAAAGATTTTTAAACCTTTTCCTTAAAATGCAAATTGAAAATAGGCCACAGAAACGACTTGCTAATGTCGAAATGATCTTCACAACTCGACCACAATTAAACTCATGGCATAAAAAGAAGTCTAAATACTTCAAGCTTCGACGAAGCCTCTCAAATAGGCCTCTCCTAATCATACTTGTAAAAACACTGGAAAGTTGCTAACTGGAATGCTTGGTTGCTTAAAAATTGCTGAAATTCCAAAAAGGTGCACCTAAATGTGTTGATATTTCTATATAAATGTCAATTTAAAGCCTTATTTTTCGCCCTCACAATAATTGCTTACAACATCGGTCAAGAAACTTAGCTTTAAAGGGTTGCTCGCAAATATGGGCGAAATTTAAGAATACTCTTTAGTTAAACGGGACAAAAGTCATTTTAGCCGATTATCTGCTAAAATCTTAGATAAGGATTGCAATAGGCCTGCGAAATGTTGTCACGTGACAAGTTATGTATTCAAAAGGTTAACAAGCAATTCATGAAATTCGTATAAATTGAAGTTTTCTATGAAATCGTTGACTTTTTCGTCCTTTATATGTGCTCTAAACTTATATTTTGCTCAAAAATTACCCACAGGTTATTTGTAATTGAAGTCGTCGTAACAAAAAAGTCGAAACCAGTCTGGTTTCGACTGAGATTGAGCTCGTCTTTGCCAATGCGACAAGGGAACTTTACCTTCAACAAATCCCTCAAAAATTCTTTGAGATAGGCGTTGTGTGTTTTTTACAGGAAATAAAACGTTTCGATAATTCTGTTTGATACCAAAGTCATTCCCTCAAGCCAGAATTAAGCTCCGTTTAGAAGGCTTCTTGATACATGTTATGTCGCATTTCAGTGTTTCATTTGCTCGGCAAGATGGAAAGAATCATGAAAGGAAGAGATCCACAAATACAAAGGTTTAACCAACGAAAATATGGTCATCCTTATTTGCAGCAACCATCAGTCAAGATTTTCATGAGCTTTTCTTATATTTAGTGCGCACGTGATGTACCACGTGGCGTGTACGTGCTTAACAATTGGCACACCTGGCGACCATTCATAATTTATAGCCTGGAGCTAGGGGTAGAGGATTTTGAGGGCGGATCACATGGTTTTCAGGGGGAACAGCGGGGCAGTATTCGTCGTCAAAGTATAAAAGGTGGGAGACTACAAAAAATTGACTGCTAATTAATTGCCAATGAGAGGGAATCAGGTGAATTTTATCGTGACGCAGACAAAATCCTCCAAGCCCCCCCTTTCCAGGAAGCCCCCCTCCCCAGGGTGCCCCCCCCTTCCCAGGACGACGAATAATAACCGGTCTTTTAGATACGTACCAGAAATGTGAAAGATCGTGCTTCTTTTTTTTCTGAGATAGAGAAATTACAAATGTTTTTTTAAAAAATGAATCATGTCCGTCTTTCACGGCTACACTTACCATCTGTGGTGCTTTCAGTTTGCTGAGCTTCATTTGGTTTTGCTTTATCTTCACGAATTAAAAAAAGTGAAAGAAATAAGTTATGCTCGGTTGGAAACAATTTTCAGTAAAGATCCGCTATCATAAAGCAGTCACTTTTTTCAGTTGGCCCGCGTTTGTTAACATCCAAGTGAGTCACGATACAAACACTGTAACTGAGTGCTGTAAACCCAAATCAAACCTAAGCCGCTTAGTGGCGCTAGCTCTTTCGAGCAAACACAAACACAACACGTAGTCGTGCAAAAATCGACCCTCCGTGATTCCCGAGACGAAGGGGACTCTCAAGAAAAGAAAGCTGTTTACAAGGGCTTCATGGAAAATGAATTACACCTAACGGATTAACCCTTTACCCCCTAATATCAGTATCCACATTCTCCATACTTTTCACTATTCGTAAGGTGCTGACATGGAGAACTTGTTGGATAATCAAGAGCTGCTTTAGTTGGTGATCATTTCCTCTATTCTCTCACCTTAATGTTTGATTCAAGAGTGATATTATAAGGAGAAATTAGATGCTAGTCACTCTTAGGGGTTAAAAGGTGAACAAATAAATTCCATGTTGCCATGCGTCTGTTCAGTAACATATCACAGATCACGTTAAAATGTGGTAAGAAAAACAGCTGCTATGAGCAAATCACAGAAAGCCCCTAAAATCTGATCATAATAAAGTGAATGATAACAAAAATTATTAAGAACTAGTAATCTTATTATAGTTTTACCTACCGATGTTTTGGACAATGATGTAAGCATGTTCGGCTGCGTAACCAACAGCATTTCTCACAATGCAAGTGTATTTTCCTTCGTCCCTCTTTGTGACATTTAACAAAGTCAACTTCACTCCGTGGAAATCAAACATTTTGCTACCACTTGGTGGTACAACTACATGTTGGTATCTGTCTTCTTTATTCACGATTTCGTAGTGAGGACTTTCAATTGAACCGTTTACCGAACTGTTGGCCGAGCCGTTGGAACGCACAGGAAACCACCTTAACCACTGGAAATGAGGCATGGAATCACTTAATGCTTTGCATGTTAAGCTGGCATTCTCTCCTCGATAAACTGTGACATTTTCCATGGGTAGAACGACTGGTTCAGCACGAGCTCGTTCTAAAAAATTGAAAAGAGAATACTGTCAATACTGTCAATGTAACCCCAAAACATCCATTGTTTCGTTACTTGTAATGTTTATTTTAATTTGCCTTTTAAATGGGATTTATATTGACCACAAGAGTTTGAAGATTCTTTTTCTCAGATAAAGAAAACCGTGAGTACTCTTCAGAGTCTGTGTCAGCTAGAAAAATTTGAAGGATTTTTCCTCTTACCATGAACGTCTACTTTGTATGTATGATTAATCCATCCGTACGAGTTGCTCACATTACACATGTATGACCCAGAGTCAGAGGGAACCAAGTCCTTCAGACTCAACAAGGTTGTCCATGGACTCAAATACAGTTTTTCGCCACTTCTCCTTTCTTTAAATAAGTTTCCGTCTTTGTACCATTTCACGGTAGGACGAGGGTTTCCGTCGGCAGAACAGTCCAGCTTTACAGAGTTTCCAAAGGGTATTGCATAAAGGTTGCGGCTCATCTTGCTCTGCTTTACCGTAAATCTTGGAGCAGCTGTGAAGCACAGAACAGCCACAGAATTTGAGCGTTGAACTTCTCGACGACCGCCCGGAATCTCCCCCTTTCTAACACATTTTAGGTTACAGTCTAAACATTATCTTATTTTAGGTGTTCTACAGTACTGGTCATATGGTGATGGTTCAGAGCTTTATCACATGCGGGGCAAAATAACTAAGTGAGGATTGGCTGAGACAGAGGGCATTTTTTCTCAATCACGAGGGCACTTTTGGTAATCAAGAGAGCATGATTATTTGATGCTGATGAAGCTTTTTTGCTGTTTGAGGCAAAGATCTATTGATTGTAATGTAACTGAATGAAGTCATGCATGTAACATTGATAACTGTATTCTGTGAATAAAGTGTTGATTGAATCTCTTTAAGATTTACATTTTTGTTGACATTTGTGGCGGCATTGAAAGGGCCTCATCGCGCGGACATCGTTCGCAAATGCAATTTCCTAAATATTTTGGAGGAGTGAGGTACCACAGGAATCGGAGCAATTACTGTAAATTATATTACTGCTTTAATGTCTATGTGAAGAATTATTTTTAAAACATTTTTTAAGAATCTAAACTAGTGAGCAGCACTCTGCGAACAGTAGTTGTAAAACTTCTTAACTCTCCGACGTGTTTCGTCTAACTGTCGTGGACTTCTTCAGGAAGTTTGACAAGTTAGCACTAAATTTAAACCGTGGCCCCTACATATTTTTCTATCCTTGCTTTAAAAGTGTTCAAAATTTTTCAAAACTTCGCCTGTTCCTGTTCGTAAGTCCAGCCAAGCCTATATGGTCATTGGCCCCAGTAAAAGCCGCTGACTATGGTTTCGTGTTAACTTGTAAAACTCCCTCAAGTCTACGACAATTAGACGAAACGCGTCGGAGAATTAAAAAGTTTTACAACCACTGTTCGCAGAGTGCTGCTCACTAGTTTAGATTTTTAAAAAATGTTTTTAAAAATAATTATTCACATAGACATTAAAGCAGTAATATAATTTACAATAATTGCTCCGATTCCTGTGGTACCTCACTCCCTAAAAAAAAAAAAAGAAAGAAGAAAAAGAAGGAAATTGTTAACCATGCCACGACATAACGAACATTTTGGTTGTTTTTCCGCAAATGTGTTGAATCGAGGTTTTCGATATGACGAACCCTCGATGTAACGAACCAATTTCCCCGGTCCTTTGGCATTTCGTTAAATCGAGGTTTCACTGTAACACGTCACTCTGACCCATAACCCGTTTGCCCTTTAACTCCCACAAATGATTAACATGTAATTTCTCCTAGTATAATATCCATACATTATCCAGCAAACAGGCAATGAGAATAATCAAACTTATCACTTAGAAGTAACACCAAGTTCTCGTTCCTCCGGCATTTATAAGGAAATGCGTGTAGCAGCTAAAGGGGAGAATTAACAATCAGATCTTGGCCGTCTAAGCTCCCGAGTCAATGTTTAACGCACAAAGCGTAGAAAAATTATGAAATTTACTGGATAACATATGCGATTGCCAAAATATAATTTTTTTTAATCGGATTTACAGAATCTTAACTTGAAAGATTCATTTGATGGGCTTTGTAGATGAGCTTCAACACTTCATCAATGTTTTTTCAAGAGATTACAATTTCTTGATAATTTTTTTTCATCATCAGTTTTCTTCTCAGAGGGTCTTAATGGAGTTATCCGACAGCCTTACAACGGCCAAAAATTTAGCCGTTAGCCGTAGATTGGCCAAAATTAGCCGTAACGTTACGTTAGCCGTAAAAGCCATCACCCCATTGAGACTGTCTTCCAGAGGAAGGTTGCTTTTCTCTATTTCAAAGAACATTAATATCGGCTCCTGTATCAACTAAACTGCTTCTGCATTCATCTTTCACTAATTTCTTCCGATTAGAAATGAAAGTACATCTGTCTTAACTCCTACTGTAATTTTATTGGGATTCAGTGTTGGACCTCAAAGAGAAAAACACAAGAAATTATCTAGATGTAAAATGCTTTTGTAATGCAGATTATCTGAGGCGACACACATCTGAATCTTTCTATTCACGTCCTGACAGGATTTTGAACTCCCAGCTGTCTCAGTTAAATACTTTAAGCAATGATAAAAGAAACATTGCACCTTCGTCGGAAATAACTTTTTGTGATGGCAAGTATGAAATTACCATCTTTTCCCTCCTTATTTGCCTACCTTAGCAACTCCTACTTAAACTGACATCACCTCAGTTTGTCGCACACAACTAGTATAAAAGAACTTTGCTCCCCAGGATATCGCTATAAATTACGTGCGTACTTATACTTTTAAAAAAACTCAAATGGTTGCAAATGTTTACTTACTTCTGACAAATAGGTGCATTGTAAAATGATTCTTGCCACAGTCATTTACTGCGACACAGGTGTAGAAGCCGGCGTCCTCTTTCTTAGCTCTTTTTATCTTTAGGTATCTGTAGAGTTTTAACCTCAGACGATGATGACTCGATGGACTGAGCGTCTGATTGTCTTTGAGCCAGTAATACCTTGGTTTTGAGGTCTGACCAGCGGTTCTGATCTGGCAAGTGAGTTTAACATCCTTTCCGCTGGTCACCTCGATGACTTTTATCTCGTTTACTTCCTTTTCACGAATGTTAGGAGCTGAAAAAGAAGCCAAAATTTTTGTGAGTTCCACCCGAAACACCAAAGATGCCCCTCCTGATCCATCACTATGATCCACATTACTCGAACACTCGCAATTGCAATATTAATGCTTGAAAGAGGTATCGGTAATCCTGTAAAAATTACATATCAAATTCAGTGTTCTTACTAACGACTCCCTCATCCGGCGAGCAAACGCGGAAACAAATACTGGGAACCGATGTATAAAGCTTTTTCCCTTGTAGAATCCCCTAAAATTACCCTGACGCAGAAAATGCAGTAACCCTGACATAACCTTATTATTGACTTCACGAGCTGGAACCAGCTCACTATCCAACTGAAATGATTTGATATAATAATAATAATACTACTACTAATAATAATAATAATACTAATAATAATAACTTTATTTAAGGGGGGTAACACATGACAGTAATTCAACTGATGAACTGGTGGCTCTCCATCCTAAAAGTACCATAATTAGAGTTAAAATGTATGTAAAATGAACTCGAAGATTATAAAACAGGTCTATAAGAATGCAAGCTAAAAACTATTAGAAGTAAAATATGCCACATGGGTCGGGTCAAAATACAATATGCCGCTTGGGTCGCCTCGGTTTCGCGATTGAAACGAGGGCAGGCGAGATTTAATTTACTATCGCATTCGGACTAAAATGTTCTACTCCATCGTAGCTCGTTAGAAATGTCTGTGAAGGGCCTTTCTGAAAGAAGCAACTGTTGTCGCCTATTTTTCTAGTTTAGTAGGTAGCTGGTTCCACAGCCTTGTTGCAGATACGCTAAAGGTCCTCCCTCCCTCGGTTTCGCGATTGAAACGAGGGTAGGCGAAATTTAATTTACTATAACGACCAGTTCGTGAATGTAGGTCTGCATTAAATTTAAGTATATCGTACATATATGCAGGACAGCTTCCTAATAAACGCTTTAAAACTAAAACGCTCTTATTTAACTTGACTTTGTCATAAAAAGGAAGCCACTCCAATTTCTTAAAGAGTTTCACGCTGTTCGACCTTGTATAAGCTTCCGAGATAACTCGGGCAGCGCGTTTTTGAAGCTTGAAGACTCTCATTATGTTATCACTTGAACATAGCATAATATGCGCTGTTCAGAGGAATCTTCTTATCTTCCTAAGCAGTGCTATTCTTTGGGATAGTTTCTTACACAGTTCTTCAATCTGAATATTAAAGCTTAAGTGTCGGTCAATGGCAAGTTCTGGGAGTTTTTGACTATCCACCTGCTCTGTATTTGAGTTCCCAAGATGAAGATTTAAAGAACTATCGACGATCTTATTTGTAAGGCGTTTCCCGGCCAATAAGAGACATTTAGTCCTGGCGGCGTTTGTGACCATCTTGTTGGCCGGCAGCCGACCACTGCGAAGGTCATCTAGGTCTTGTTGAAGGGCAGAGAGAGATGTGATGCCAAGAAGTCCATCTGTCACGTCAGATGAGAAACTGAGATTAGTGTCATCCACATAGATGTCAACGGTAGAACGCTGAGCTGCTAAGGGTAGGTCGTTGATGAACAGGAGAAACATAATGGGGCCCAGTATACTCCCTTGTGGTACTCCAGCTGTCACAGTTCTTAGGAAGGAGCGACTTCCATCAATGACTACGTATTGTTTGCGTTCACTCAGATAGCTGCGTAGTAAGTCTAGTTCGTGACCACATATCCCAGACATTCAGTTTCGTTAGAAGTAGATCGTGGTCTATGAGGTCAAATGCTTTCTTGTAGTCAACATATACGAGTCCCGTTGCTCTGTTTTTGTCTAAGTCAAGGAACAGCTGGTCGATTAGTCGAATGAGGGCGGTCTCAGTGGAGTGGAATCTATGGAATCCAGACTGGAGGTGATGGAGTAACGCATTTTCCTCAAGCAAGTCGTACAAGTGATCACAAATATGCTTCTCAAATAGCTTTGAAAGTATTTGATTGATTTACGCATCATTAGAATATAAATCACTAAAAACCGTATCTCAACGCTAAGGTGAATGCATGCATACGGCACTTTATGACAAGCTCGCACGCTAATGGCATGACACGCTTACCGTGCAGATATACGCATAAAAAAAATTGATTTTGGAAAGCTTGTCCGTAGTCATTGTTCGTGTCTGGCTAACACGGTAGAGCTTTGTTTCTATAACACGCTAGAATTTTTTTTTTTTTTTAATACGCTAAGTTCCTTTGTTTTCTTAACACGCTAGCTTATGTTGTACAACCCAGCTCACTAGGTTACTTGTGTTTGTCAGCTTCTAGATTGTGAGAATGGCGTTTATAAAGTATATTACTAACAGAATATAAGCTTGAACACATGAATTACTTTTTTAAATTTGAATTCTTACCTCGTAAAATATAAATCGTTATCGCTTCACGCAGTTAATAAGCCCAGTACCGAATGATTGTGAATCCTTTAGCAACAGATTTCCGGCTCCATGTACAAATCGAAAGCAAATTTTACTTGAAGAGGCGTGTTATAAAACTGCCAAGGTCATTGTTGTGTTGTATTGTGCAAAGTTGCAAGCAAGATCCTAACACTTTCCTTTGCTTCTACTGTACGAAGCAAGACAATGGCTGCGAAGTTAATGAGGCAAGTAACTAACACGCATCTAACTCCCTTTTAACTATAAGGCACAATGTTTGACGAAAACGGAGGGAGTCTTGAATGAAAACAAATGCAGAATGCAGTCAATTTCCGCTTGAATAAGAAGAGTTAAAGTCACTCAGCGTGGTGCGTCTTCGGATTTTTACTTTAAATAAAATGCGACGAAGAAGGAACCTGGACCATTATCTACTCTTTACTCTGGCTGTTAACCGGCCAGAATCAGAAATTCGATTTGGTTTTTCCTCCACAGAATAGGTTTTATGCACGACTTTCATAATGGCCGCGACGCGCGAGACTGGTAACTACTTAAACATGAAACCGAGGTCAGAAAGGCCACGCTTGAGGACAGCACTGTAAACAAAAGGCTAATTAAGATTGAGTAGGTGATCTGTTTTGAATCGATTCGGTCGAATTATTTACAAGAAGTGGAAATGGCGACTTATTGTTGTGTTCCAGAATGTACGAAGAAATGCTACCGGAAAGACGATGGGACAAAAGTGTCTTATTTTTAATTTCCGACCGAGAACCCGTTGAAAAGAAATGCCTCCACGCGATAAGAAGAGACGAAGGAAAGCACTTCAATGTCTCGCGGTCAAAAATGAATTGAGAGATGGAGTTGTCCCTTCTGTGTTTTCATGGATTCGAACATCGCCACGCAAAGGAAAGGACCCGGTGTAAAGAAACTTCGAACTGACAGCTTCGAAAAGTGCATCACGAAATTGTCTGCCCCAGCTGTTGTTCTTGAAGAATTATCAAATGAATCGTCAAACGAATTATCAAACGAAATGGTCCCAGATCTACCAGATTGTAGCTTAAAATTCGAAGACGAAACACAAACTGGTTTTACCGATCAGGAGGCCTACTTGAGAGAAATTATTGACAACAATAACAAGAAGATTCATAAACTCGAACAGGAAATTGAGGAACTTAAGCGCCAACTGCAAGATACCCAGCGGCAACATGATGCTGTTACTAAAAGATTGTTTAACTTTGAAAACTTTAAGTCAAAAGATTCCAATGCTGCTTTTTATACTGGCTTTCAAAGCTGGGACACTTAAATGGCTGTTTTTGAGTATCTTTATCATTTCCTACTGGCGGTCAAAAACTGACAACAACGTTGAGTCTGATTACAGTGAGGGCAGACTACTAACAAAAAAGGGGAGAGCTAGATCTTTAAGGCCCCTTGATGAATTTTTTATAGTCATGTGTAGACTAAGGCAAGGATTCCCAGAAGACCATCTAGCTCAATTATTTAATGAATCAGCATCTGCAATAAGTAGAATATTTATCACATGGGTCAATTTTATGTTCTTTAAGTTTGGACAAATAAACATTTGGCCCAGCAGGAAAGTAATCAATAAAATGCTCAAATCTTTTAAGGGAAGGTACAAATCTACTAGAGTCATAATTGACTGTACTGAGGTTAGATGTCAAATGCCAAGCAGCTTGCAGTTAAATTGAGAACTTTTCAGTGCTTACAAAAATCACACAACTTTGAAAGGTTTGGTTGGTATTTCTCCCAGTGGAGCAGTGACATTCAGAAGTCAACTGTATACAGCTTCTATTTCCAATCGGGAAATTGTCAGATGGAGTGGATTCTTAAATCTATCATTTGATGAGAAAGACTCCATTATGGCAGATAAGGGATTGATAGTTTAGGATTTGTTGGCTTTGGGAGTCAGTTTAAATTTGCCACCCTTTCTTGGAGCATCTTCTCAGATGGCTGTAGAAGATGTGGTAAAAACACAGGAAATTGCAAGTTTTACAGATACATGTTGAAGATTAAGAATTTTCACATCTGGGACAGAGTTGTTCCACTACATCAAATGGGAATTGTAAACCAGATGTGGCCAGCATGTGCATACTGTTGTAATGCACAACCTAACATAATATCAATGTGAATGTCACATTCATGTGAAGCATGAATGAATTACTTAACCCATAAATTGCCTACAAATCTCTTCTCTCCCTAGATTGTAAGGGGTTACAAATTGGGCATTAAGATAAAGACAACATTTTCCCCTCTGTTCTGACTATTTATCGGAAGGTTTACATCAAAATTGAGTGACTTCGTTTCTGTCTGTAAAGACCATGTTGTCTATGTTATGTTTAAATTATCTTTGGTGCAAAATGTTTGAACCAGTTTGGTTTTAATTTTCCTTTGTAGTCTAGCATACTTTGAAACAAAGAAGATTAAAAATCAAACAGGTTGGAAAAATTTCAACCCACAACAAATTACAACTACAAAACTGTAAGAATTTATTCATGTAAGGTATTAATTCCCAGTCAACAAGTAAATTCACGACAATTAAGAATATTTGAATGTAGAAGCATGGTATTACCAATTGTGTTGAAAAAAACAGAGCTGTCATAACAAAATAGCTATAGCAGTAAAACTGCAGATTACAGGGTCAACTAGATGTAGCTGTTCACAAGACTTCACAATCACTGTTGTTATTTTCCAGACATTTTCAATTGAAAAGCTTTGCATAAGCAAACTTAATAAAATGTTCAAAGTAATAAGAAAGCAGTTTCTGCACTTGTTCGGTTCAGAAACCAGGGTCGTATGTAGCCATGCACTCATGTCCGCGCATCTCCACAACATTTAAGCAAAAATTTAATCTCTGAGATTTTTAACTCCTCAGGTTTTCTTTCAAGAAGAGAAGCGCCGGGTATATCGTTTTCCGTAGGAAATGTCGGATTTGATATAATCGAAGTACTCGCCATAATAAAGAAGAGGGACGCGACGCGATAGTTTGGCCTTTCTGACCTCGCTTTCATGCAACTCGATCCAGGGCTCTCGCGATGTCCGCCATTATGAAAGTCGTCTATGAGTTTTTGCATCGAGTGTATTCAAGCTTAAAATGCTGGGCCGCGCATAAACGATAACCAAGCTTGTAACAGTTTACACTTATCTTTCGAGCAAAATTCAAAATATTTATTTAAAGCACAAACCTAATACTGTGAATCGCCTCTAAAACAACAACCGTGGGACAGTTAAAGTTTATTGGCTGATTGATTTAATTCGATAGATCAATTCAATTATCTTAAGTAAATATTGGCAATGGGATCGTTCAGTAGTTTACTTTAGCGGACCAAAAAAACCATACTTATCCGACAAAAACTTGTAAAAGTCACTGCCACATATGTTTAATTTCAATCCGTCGAAAAACTTGTGGTCCATGAAATGCCTTCTATGGTATATCGTTCCGCGGCAGAAAACTTCAGAGATTTGTAACCAGATGTCAGCGGGAGAAAACCTCTTAAACAAAGATCATCGCGTTCAAATGCAAATATTTATTGAGCAACTGTGAGGCGAAACTTTAAAAAGGAATGGAAAATAGTGGAAGTTGGCTCGTGCAGGCAAGGAAAGATTTGAATCGCAGCGTTAAAATTTGATGAGCTTTGCAACCGGAAATTTGATAAACGCAGGATTCTATTTAATACTGGTTTTATAGAACGCCCGAGATATGCGTTTTTTTATTCTGTGGAGTTGGATGGTTACCATCATTCAGGATTTCTCCGTGACTCAAGCTAATTCACAAAGCGACTCACTACTTTTCTGTTGACTTTGCCGCGGTACCTACGTTATTCCCCGCATTTCATCTGGCGATTTTAGTATTTCCAATTTGTCATGGCATCAACTGATTTAATCTCTATGACTCTCAATGTTAAGTTAACAATGTAAAGCACCCAACAGCGATTTTGCTAAAAAACTGCAACGCCTTTAATTCGTTCCCTCTGAACCGCAAATCCGGCTATAATAAAGGCTCTGAGTAGCGTCATGTTTTTGATATCATGGGTATGATAAAATGATATGATGGCCTTGCTGCCAGGCGAGTAAGGAGAATTCTTTTTAAACAGCTACCTGAGAAGCCATCATAGACTTTGGATTTAAGATCATCATTTAACGTCCCACAATCCACAATCAGTCTAACTATCTTGATTTTGTTTCACCTGCTAGTTGGTATATACACATGGTCATGTTCAATTCAATGACTAAACTATAGTTGCTTTAATATTTAGTGATAGCGAGAGATTTAAAAATGTTTTTCCCGAATAAGGCTAGGGATACACTTAGAACAACAATACCCTTATTATTGACAGCGAATAAGAAGGAACGTGGATTCACACCAACCTGAACACGCATCCGCTTGCCAATTATCCAGAAAGCCAAGGAAAGCAACGAGAATCGCTTTGAACAGGAGCGCACTGAGTATCATGACGATGAAAATACTCCTACTTTGGTTGATTCCTCGAACAGCTTCAGTTGTTATCCCGTTTTGAGAGCATTTATGAAAATGAGATAATAATACAATGAACTTTAATATATGAAAAAGAGATAATTGACTGTCAAATAGTTTAGATAACCACAAGCAGCCCAAGCTCCAGCTGTGAGATGCTCATCTTGCCCAATAACAGTCATAGCGGAATATTATAAAAGCTTGTATGAGAATATTTACGACCGCTCTAAGGAATAAAACAATACGTCAAATTCTCAATAAAAATACCTCACCTTACTTTCACAGCGTATCACTTGTTACCTGACCGTTTACTTTGATGAAAAGAAGCCATTTTGTACATAAGAAAAGGCTTTTCTTGTGCACACTACCGTTCATGGCTATGACATAACTTCAGTTTGATAATGAGATGGGTTCGCCAGAGTCACGAGAAAAAAATGACAGGCTTTTTTTTCATACAAAGAAAAGCTTCCCACATGATAGACAACAATAGGCGGCGGAAGTCCTAAAAAAACCAAGACGCACATCTACACGTACTCAGGCTCTTGTAATGGTAAAATCTAGAGGAAGTCTAAATACGATTTTCACACCTATTGCACAAGTTTTACGTGCAAGTAAAAGGCACGTGAAAATCATTTGAAAGGCATGTAAAAATGTTATCAGTGATATGGTTTTCAATAAGTCCTTGAAGCTTAAATGTAAAGCATCTTGTAAGTAAGCATGCACACCAGAGCTTTTACAGTGATTTGCGACTGGAAAGACCTTGAAATTTAAAACTCGTGCCTCAAAAGGCGCGCCCAATGAATCATCTAAATATCAACAGGATTAGTATTTGCGTTGTTGGGGTTTCTCGTTCAATGGACCCCTGCATAATAATCCCTGATCTTTTCGGTCTTATCAATACTTACTAATCAAGCTTATCTTAGAATAAAACTAATTTTATTGTATGCTTACGAGGATTTGAAACAAGGGTCGTAAACTTCATTAGAGACTTCAAATCAAAATGGCATACCTTAGACTAAGACCATCAGTAGCAAATATATAAGTCGATCCACGTCAGTCTCGATATATACAACTATAGAGTACCATTCTGTGATGTGTTCATTTAAGATTGTACTTCAAGCATGGGTATAGAAATTTCGAAATTGTTGCAGTGTTTCGTCAACGTCTCGTGAGGTTATGATGTGTTTAAATAAATTTTCTACTTACGTTCTGCCAGAGATTTAATTAGGGAGTCACGACAGCTATACCTGGGAAAACATCGCTTAAAAAAGAAAGGAACTTCCGTTTCTCCTGAGTATTTCATGCGTAGCGCGCGATATGTTTGCTGTCTTAAACGGCGCCAGATCTTTTCTTTCAGCAAAACGTGAGAATGGAGCGTTGGATGATTTGCCCGAGGGGTTCCCGTTCTCAGACTGCGCAAAATTTTGGAGATTTTCTAATGTTGTTTTGTAAACGACGACCAAGATATTTACAAAGTTTTTAAATGCGCGCGCTGAGCGAGTTTTCAGGTTCATGAAATCTTATATTTCGCCACCTTCTCACTATCGTCGCCGTCGTTTTTTTCTTAAAGTCTCTAATACTCTGCTTCTGCGTAGTTTGTCCACGATCTTTTGGGAAAAATGGCAAATTGCTTGCGTAAGCTAACCAAGAATGAGTAACGAAACTGATCATATCTCACTGAGGTAAGAATTCATAAAGAGATCTCACTGTGACAGTCCACGCACCATTCAACCCTTTCCTTCTCCATATTTAATTACCTTATTATCTAATTCTCCTCTTCAATTTCCCAACGCGGAGGATTGAGGACCTGGAAATAAAACACATATTTAACAGGTTCACGGTGTAAAAATCTCACAACCTCTCAGATGATGTACCAGATGAATATGTCAAAGTTCACGAGTTGGGCGAGGTGAAGTGAGAGTGGGGTATGGAAAAAATTAAACCAAGGGTAATGGAGGTGGTAATAAAATTCTCCATCACCAGACAACAATGACAAAGTCCATCTAACCTGCATATAAGAGGAGAAATATCTTGCTTATTGTCTCGAATCTATTTTACTTATTACAAAAATGTGGTAGTTTACCTCGGAATGGACGCATATGGATGCTAGTGACCTGAAAATAAAGTTCAGAGCCACACGAAATATGGTTTCTAAGTCAAAAATTAGATATAAATGAATCTTAGCCTCCAGGAGAAAGCCACTTAACCAAGGGCTGTGTATGTATGATTTATCAGTGAATTCCAGGCTCTGGATTGTTATCTTTCTCTTGGATCTAAGCTGGAGCCCTGAAATCTCGAAATAAAACTTCTTTCTCAGGGATTTCCCTCAAAATTTTACTTCAGCCTTTTTCTATTCTCTCGTGATAAAACACTTGTTTCTCAAAAATCCTTGGCCATTCTGAATACAATATCACTCCCAGCCCACTTACACCTAACTCAAACTGTAGTTTTGGTATGGAATCACGTTGCATAACAGAAAGACTGTTCTAAAACATCACGACAGCTTTATTTCAGGAAAAAAAAAGAAAATTGTACATTCAAACCTTTTGATGTCACAAGCACCAATGGAATCGAAGACTGCTTATAAATTTGTATCTCACCACAGCCTCTGGCACCAATCGACGTGGAACACGGCTGAAACGGCTTCTGCCAGGAAAGGATTATTTCTTGCTGCTATTGTTATGCTGAGATGTTATATCCTCGAAAAGTATTCTAAGGAGATTCTCTGGCAAAGTCTTAACCTTCTCATTTGACGAAGGATTTCCTGTGATTATAGCCAACAAATCTTTTTCCTCTCTATTTTGCATTTTTTTGTATAACGCAACTTTTTAGTCGTATAATAACATTTTAATGGAATATACATGTATCCACATTATTTACTTTTCATCAAAATTTGATCTTTTTTATCTCCATTTTCATTTGTCGCCACGGATATCTCAGAAAATGCAGTGACCATGCGCAAATCCTTTACCATGGATGGAAATGTTGAAGAAATCTCCAACAATGAACCTGACCTGGTGACCCGTTTGCTACATTCACAGGCTGAAAAGCATTCACTGCAAAATTGCTGTTTTGCGTTTCATAACTCGCCAGTAATTTGTAGCTGAGTATAGGCTACGACTTAACCAAAACAGCCATACTGAAAAATAAAAAACACCGACCTAATGTTAGAATATAAGATTTAGAGATAAGTACTTCCTACAAATTGTCCTGAAGGCTGTCAATGTCGTTCGCAGAGTCCTCGTCCTTTTTGGCAAGCGGTCGTGCGCCCCGTCAGGGAACTAAATTGTCTGGTCATCCGACTTCCTTACGAGCATCTTAAACGCAAGTGTAACGATAAACTAAAATTCCCGCCACGCCACGCATAACGTGATTGATTTGCGATCGTTTGCTTTGACAAGTTAGTAAATAGCCACTGGATGTTACAAAATTGCCATTGCAAGTCAATAAGTCGCCAGAGCAAATTGCTTAATCAAGGGTCTTCGCAAGTTACTGAGCTGCACCTGCAAGTTATAAGAATACCACGTCAAGATATTAGACTGCCATTAGAAGTTACTAAGTTTCTATCGGAAGGTACTAAAATAAGATGACAAATTCTTAAATTGCTATTACAACGTACTATATTGCCACTGCAAATTGCTTAGTTGTTGAAGTAAGTTGCTAAAATACTATGGCAAGTTACTAAATTGCTCATGCAATTTACTAAATAGCCATCACAAGGTACAACAATACAAAGGCAAATTGCCTTTGCAAAGTACTAAATTGCCACTGAAAATTACTCAGTTGCTATTGTTAGATATTGATATACCATGGCAAGTTATCAAATTGCTATTGCAAGTTACTAAATTACCATTTCAAGTTATTAAGTGTCCATTGCAAGTTACCAAAATAGGATGACAAATTTCTAAATTGCCATTTCAAAGTTCTCAATGGCCATTGCAAATGACAAGTTACGAAAATACCATGGCAACGTAGTAAATTGCCTTTGCAATTTACTAAGTTACCATTGCAAGTTGCTATGTTATCATTGTAAGCCACCAAGTGATGCCATGCAAGTTTAGGTTGCAATCGCAAGTCGCAAGTCATTACGTTGCCATTGCAAGTTACCAAGATGTGGTCCGAACTTACCAACTTCCGCGCCAAGTTACGAAGTTGCGAACCAACAAGAAAACAAAAGAAAAAAGCACAATCAACGGTCACGGTTAAATTCAACTTTCCTTTAAATCGTCGTTAGGATGGTTACGTTGATAACAAGTTAAAAAAGCTCACCAGGCGGTCGGTCATGAGTTGGAAGAATTGGAAGAGCCTCTATGAAAATCAAAGATAAAACCTCAGTATATTCGAGTGAGCTTAATGACATAAACTAAGTTTATGCAAGTTTAGGTTGCAATCGCAAGTCGCAAGTCATTACGTTGCCATTGCAAGTTACCAAGTTGTGGTCCGAACTTACCAACTTCCGCGCCAAGTACGAAGTTGCGAACCAACAAGAAAACAAAAGAAAAAAGCACAATCAACGGTCACGGTTAAATTCAACTTTCCTTTAAATTGTCGTTAGGAGGGTTACGTTGATAACAAATTAAAAAAGCTCACCAGGCGGTCGGTCATGAGTTGGAAGAATTGGAAGAGCCTCTATGAAAAATCAAAGATAAAACCTCAGTATATTCGAGTGAGCTTAATGACATAAACTAAGTTATCTTCCTTGAAATACAACCTAGGAAAATAATTTCATCAGGAGTTGAAAAAGCATACTCTGAGCGAGAGTATAATCTAACAAACTCTGTGTATCTTCCGCCCAATTCACCCATTTCCTTATTTTTTTTTTATACATTTGTAGTCTTTTTTAAGGTTATCCATTACTTGCATCGTAGAGCTTTTATCACTCGATCATAATCTTATATTATTCAAACTACCAGTAATGTTGGTTAGATGGCCTGACTATATCTCTAACAATTATTTCAAGCAGCCCCTACTCAGGTTGTGTACAAATCACCCATTTTCTTTTCACATTCTTGTATTGTTTCTTGCTTTCTATTTTAAATATTAGCTACAAGATAGGGTTTACAGTCGTGTTAAAAACGCAGGGAACATGTCTCACAACAGAGGGATTTGTATGAAGAAAAGCCCAACAAATTGAAATAAAACGAAACAAGCACGTCCCGTTTAAATACCAAAACTGGATGTCTGCCAGTCAGAAAATTCTTCTTAAAGTTATTTCTTTCAGCCTCGCTTTATAATGTAAAACTTTTCTCACCTTACCATAGAAAACCCGGTGGCCAAGACAATAAATTATGTGTGAATAGAGCAATTTTCATTTGAGTTTCAAAAATGATCCAGGATTGCTTTGCTTTTTGCTTTACATCGCTATGTGATTGGTCCAGAAAACACCTCAATCAGATTCAAAACTAAAACCAATTGCGATTTCTTGGTCACCCTCGTTTTCCTGCGCTTCATGCATTTTGCTTGTTTTTACCTCAGGTTCTCACTGCATAGTTCCTCTTGATATTTTTTTTCCTAAGCCAGTTTAGCTGCTGAGATTGCTTTGATTTTGATTTCACGACGCTCAATCGAAAGCGCTCTAATGTGACATACCATACGTACCTCCTTTGCCTACAGGACGCACTTACAGAGGCTCATCGTAGTAGAGCCTAAGACATGTGTCACCTATGACCCCAACGTTTCACAAGACCTTATTAGGCCGATGATTTTTTTTTCAAAGCTCGAAGATACAACATCTGACCTGTCATCGGAAGGTGTTGGGTTCAAATTCTCACTTGGAAGTCAGATTTCCCTCTTTTCCTTCGTTAACTTGACATCATTTTTCCTCGATGGTTTTGTACTTTAGAGCCAGTTCATAAAATCATTTTCTTCTTCACAAACCTGTCTCACAGATAAACCCATTCCTCTGATTACATGACGCAGTCCTCCATCTTCCTTCATCTTGATGAGGATTCATGAGTACGCAATCCATTGACTGTTTATTATTTGATGGTTCACTGACATTCCAGTAAGTATATTTGCGAGGACTGTTATCTGTCCAGAGGAATATGCCCTCCCAGATAAAGTCATTAAGGCCAATCCAAAAATCAGTGCTGGTTTCTCGAGTGATAGTATTTAAGAATACCTGTTCTTTCCTGGAAAATGAAAAGCTAAAATAACCAACCGTAGAAGGTTCAGACTAGAGCTGTGGTATAAATGCGTAACTTGTAAGATTAATAATGGTACTAGGACAAAGAGGAGTCCAATTTGGTCTGTAATCATAGGGAGTGATTGACAAAATCGGGCGACCGCGAATCGGGAGTCCGATTTGTTAATATGCTCACTAATTAGCTTCCCTTTTTTCTGACGAGTTGTAAATAGGCGTCAGGTAGTAAGCCGCCGTTATCACGATTTAACTGTCCAATTAAAAGCATGACGCGCACATTGTCCTATTAGTGCTCAAATCGGGCTGGTGATAACCAATCATGTTCGACGGAATTTGTGGTAGATTTGATTAAATGTATTGTACTTACCGATTATTCACTGTGACAAGGTCTCCATGCATACTGGTGTTATTTCGACAAACATCCCTTGCTTTCTGCCAAGAAAGAAGAGGATCTGACACGCTGCGGTAGCAGCTCTTTTCATAGTTCATCCAGCCATCCTCACATCGTCCATGGGCTTAAACACAGCAAAGAAAAAAAACAATCACCTTGACCCATCTCAAACCTTTCATGTACTGAACTTAAATCTTTGGGTGGGGCTAAAAGAAAAAGTTCGACAGAAGAATATATCGTCAAACTGGTGCTATATAGCAAGAGAAGAGAATTGTGGAACGCGAAGTAATCCTTCATGCATTATGTTTGGCTCAAAAAAAAAAACTTGCTCTAGAAGTTGCTTTACAATCAGACTTTCGTGTGTTCCACGCGTAAAATATTCTTGGGTCGACCAAAATTAACATGTCAAACTTCATCGATTCAAACATCTTTCTACTTACGAACTCAGTAAGGAGGTAAATTTCAGCGCATGAAAAGTTCAAAGTTGGACGGGGCCTCGAATTCATCCTGTAGTACCACATTTCGCACCGTAACTAAATAAATTAATACATTTGCGACAAAATCTCCTCTGATGATTAAACTCCTTAAAATTTGGTGTTCATTCCAGGATTAGCTAAATCGGAGATGACTGGAAATCTGTTATGTACGATACCTTTGTCATCTCAGATATTCCGACAATTGAAAACCAAAAGTAGTAATTAAGTATTCTGGCTCTTGTTTATAAACACAAATATAGTGACAATATTGATAACAAAATGCACGGTGTCTCGAGCTAATGTCGATATTACTTACTTGGTTTAGGTTCCAAAGGATTCACATTTGGTATGATGGTTTCTGCGGAACACATCATAAAAATATCGTTTAGTACATAGTTTGTGCTGAATTTCTCTTTTGATCAGCCGTCACTTTCTAACAAAAACAATTTATAGAATATTTTGATTCAGACGGGCAGTGATGTGGTGGTCATCTGTTACTTTAATTGCGTAGCAATGCTCCGAGCCAACCGAACAAAAACTATGCCGGAATAGCAAGCATATGGAATTCAAAGACAAGTTTTGAGACCCCGTTATCCATGAATACTTTTTAAAGCGCCACTGAAACGAATTCTAACTTCCTTCAAACTAACGGAAAAAACAGTATTTCGAAACGAATACTATGCATAGCATTGCACAACTTGAAATTCGAGTTACCGGCTCCTATCTCTTACGCGATATGGAAAAATTCCTCTCAAAATTAAATGCGCTAACAAATGAAATATTTACGACGTCGCGAGGTTTGCAGCTCGAAAGCGGAGGTCCTGACCGGTTGGGAAGTTGAAGAAAGAGAGAAGTAAAAGAATTAAGGTGTCACGTATCCGGTAGCGAAAGGCGGGTGAAAAGTAAAAATTCAGTGCCAGAATTTACTAGGGGATCGAGAACGTGGTCAAAGACCATACATATGCCGGCGACTCTGTAAATATGATGAATATCTGTAGCTTTTATTTTACCAAATTTTGATTGCTTGTACCAAAAAGTGATATTAGAAATATGTTTCTTTATTTTTCCAAACCAAATGTGAAAGGATATAATTCTTTCAAGTATTTGCAGGCTCACGAAATTACCGTTGTTTCCCAAAATACACTACATACCCGGTATAAAGTCTAATAATAAAACAGATTATCTTGTGATCAGTGACGTTGCCTTGAATATTCGTTTATGAAATCAAACGTCAAAGCTAAAATTGTTCTCAATAGCACTTAAATCCTTTTAACCCTAAGATTGACTAGCAGCTAATTTCTCCCTAGAATATCACCCCTGAAACAAATATCATAGTCACGGGACGGGAATAAAGGAAATGATCACCAACTAAGAGGCTCTTGATTTTTAAATAAATTCTCCCTATCAGCACCTTAGGAAATTTGTAGAGAACAGTATGGAGAACATGCATACTGATCTTAGGGTGTAAAGGGTTTAGTTTTAAATAAGGCCTTGCGGTGAGGTTCGTACATGCTTGGAGTAGAACTTTTACACGAACAATTGACTTCTCATTACAGTGACTACGGAGAGTGAAAAACAAAATAATGTATCAGCCTAAAATGTGATAAGTTTTACATATCAGCTGGCATACTGTGGGTAACTTACTCTTGGTCTGCTTGCAGACGTAACACAGGGTCCTACCGCAATTTAAGTCATTCCAACCATTTGACCACCAATTTATTTCTATACAGTCTTCTTGGCCATGGATATCATTTGGTTCGTTGTTGCTATAGTTTTTGTAAACAAATGATGATCCATCCGACCATTGGAAATTGCCTTCTGCTCTGAGGTCATTAAGTCCAATCCAACAAGCACTACATAATAAAATTAATGATAAGAATAATTATGAAAATAATCATAATGACTATTATTTTAATAATGATAAACGACAGCTTGCACTGAGAGTTGTGCGATGCAACGCACGAACTTAGTCAGGTCATAACCAACAATTCATATTTTCAGATTCATTCAATGAGACGGTGCACGACTTTTCTCCATGCACGATTTTGAAAAAAAACTCAAATGTTGGTCGAGTTGGGAGTTAGTTTTACGCTTTAATAATGTAGGTTTCAACGCAATGAGATCAGCAATACCCATAGTGCAAATTTTTTAAGTAAAAAATGAAACTCAATTAATAGTCAATTGAACACAAGGAAACCATCTGACAACAATAAACATTTGTGCGCATGTTTGTTTTCTTCTTGCGCCCATTCATTCGCACAAGTATAAGATTAATGTGTCTCGCAACGTTTTCCGGTTTAAGCAGTAAGCGTTGCTCACAGTGAAACTAGGTTGCCCTTTTCCCAGTGATTGCTAAAATGCTGCAACAGTCTTTTACGCAATATCCAGCGGTGCACTTCCTTGCAAAGACATATTTACCCACCCCCTTTCCAAAAATTATGTTTTTCGACTTCTTCATATTTGGTGAGAATTCAGCAAGGGAGTTGGACTGCTCTTACCCTAAGACATGGCGTGATATAAAGTCGTTCTCCGCAGCACTGTGAATACTGGCAAGGTCTCCTCCACGGATTCTCTGACATGCCTGTCTAGCGTCTTGCCATGCGACCCGGCTTGAGACAGAATCATTTGCAAAGTAGTAACACGCGTTATTCCAACGCATCCATCCGGGGGGGCAAATGTCAGGAGCTGTTGTAAAAGAAATGCCCATAAATAGCAACCTTCCATAATTTTCTCCCCGCCACGAAAATGAAAATAAAACGATTAGCCACACGTGTTGGATAAAGCATATCCTGTGTTCTGATTGGCTTCGCGAGTTAGATGAAGTATATATATATATCCTGTGTTGTGATTGGCTACACGAATCAGATAAAGTGTATTCAGTGTCATAATTGACCACACAAGTCAGATTAAGTGTTTCTCTGACGCCCTACTTATTCAGGGCCATAAAACACATTTTGGTGCTTCCAATATGTCATTTTATGGCTTTTCACAAAATTAGAACTATCCTCTTCCTCAGGCATAAGAATTAAAACTAATTTGGATTAACTATGAAGAAAAGCAAATCCCTGAGGTGATTCTTCGTCTACTTTCTCTCGATCGAATTGACAATTGGAAGATAGATTATTGTCGAGGGGGTAAAAACCCTCGTGAAAGCGAACGACGAAAAATAAAAGCAAATCCAACTCACATTGTGGGAGTCGATCTGGGTGAGCGGAGCGTTCTTGTTGCTGCGCCATACGTGCCAACATTAATTAGCTTAAAGTTAAAAATTTCGGCAAGGAAAGATTTTCAGAACGTGGCATTGCGAGTGAAAATGTTTTGAAATAGGTTCGCACTCACCTGATTCAGAGATATTCCTTGCTTCGCAAATAACAAGAACGAACGGAACACAAACTATCAACGCTTTGAACAAGTGCGAAGTGAGTATCATGGTGTCTGAGTGAGTCCAAGTCAGACTGAAAAGAAAACAAATACTTACCCTAAGTTATATGGAAGATATTGGAACCTAAACAATTGTCGGCGCGAATTCTAAAATACTAAATAAAACATTCTGTTTGCTTACCGGTTATTACCAGAGGAGCATACTAAAGGAACAACAAGAAACTCTGCGCTTCTGCCAGAAGTTCGAAAATAAAACTGTTTTTGATACCAGCCCTGACTAATCCCTGGTTATATCGACGACAATATCATCTTACCTCAAGCAAACATTACGCAAATGATAATGTGCCATTGTGTAAAACAAACTGGCTCATATCCAAAAGCGTACATCTATCAAGCATATTACGTAACAACCATACTTGTGCCATGAAAGAAAAGCTGACTGTCAGCAGTAACAAAGATCCCAAAATACCTTATTTCTGATTTGTAATATACCTCATTTTATAGAGAAGCACGATTATGCCTGTCTTTTTCTAAATTTTTTTTTGTTAAATTTTAAATATTTTTAAAGGTGATATCTGCTGTAAGTTCCAAGTGCAACATTTATTCGTGTTGGATTTTTCACGTGTTCAGAGTTTATTATTTATGTGAAGTTGTTCATTCCGTGGCCAAAAACTTTATTTTCGCATAGTGCAGTTTCGTCTGCCTTTGATTATTTAGGGGGTTTTAAGGGTATTTTTGCAACACTCCAAGTGGCGGGTAATTATACCAGAAAACCAATATCAGTTACAGTTTCGGTTGTCTTGTCTAAAATATCTCGGAATGTTTCGGTTTCTAATCAATGTCATCCCTTAAAGCGAAGTCATTCTGTCTGCTCACTTGTTATGTCGGCAGATAAATACTATGAAGGAATGACAAGAAAATTTATTCTACTTCTACTTCAGACTTCTACCAGCGGACTCGTAGGTTTTGCAGTTGAGTCTTCCTTTTGGTGCCGACAGGTTTTCTCAGACCTTTTTGAACAGCACGAGCAAACTTCCTGCACTAACTAGTTAAGGTTATGATTAAGATCGTGATGTAAAACCAGACTGCTTTCAAGTGGTTATTCAGTATAACCCTGGGGGTTAAAATTCAAACACGTAACCAACTACAAATGAAAACTCCAGCATAAGAAAACAAGTCTCCGATTATAGAAACAAGGACGACCAACTTAGTAAGACGATATTACATTTCTCAGAATCCTGAGTGAAAAAAATAAAACAAAACATGTGATCTAGAGGGTGAGACACAAACTTCCGTCAATAAAGAGAAGCACTTGACAACATCTAATGTGTGCTGCGATTGGCCAGCAGTGAGCGAAATTTTCCATAATTCCCAAAGCCCATAATACTATCAGTATCAATTAGCTAATTATAGCTAAGAACGAGACACGGGCAAAATCCTTGGTTTCCATAGATATTGAAAACAAAAGCCTTCTAACTGTATTACTGAAATGTCATCATGACTGAGGAAGAGAAAGGATATTGCGGAAGAACTATCTCAACTTTGCTTTGCACGCTTCCTTAGCCGTATATACTCTGTCGCGGCTTTTTACACTCGCCAAAGGACTCAACATGGACCTCATAGATTTTCACAGAAGAACTTCACTAAGCTTCACACTCCAAGTGTTGCTGCCTAAAGTAAGAGCGGTATCGATCATGAAAATATGTTTCCAAAATCTGACGAGCCCGTATCCATATTGCACAAATTTTAAAATATTGATAAAGATGTTGTGATGTCTACACAAAATTATGCGTCAAGTAGTCACCCACAAGGAATGGTTACCGCCCCTTAATACATGTTGGCCGCTTAATACAGGTTCCGCTGGCATAAAATAGAGAAATTTATGTGATGATCTGAATCATACACGCACTTTGATTGGTCCTTAGCGATGATCTATTTGGGGAAAGATTCTCAGACGTTATCATCGACAACATATTGCTTTTAATGCTATCATGTAAAAGAAATGGTTCCAAGTTGCCGTGGGTCTGCACAGTAACAGATCACAGAAGACGTCAATTTTTGATGATAACATCAGTGACGCACTCGGCGGCGCCTTGTGTGCCACTTTTTTGTTCTTGCCGCATTTTGAGCTGTGATCTATTACTATACAGACGTACAGCAAAACAGACCCTATTTGTTAAATCGAGCGTGAAAATGTTGTAGCTCCCATTGCGTGCCTGCATTTTGACGTCAACATCCGGGACATCGGCCATGAGCTTTGTCGAAAAAGAACTAGTTGCCGTGTTTGTACTAACATATTTTGCTAACCAAAATTGTTGAGCTATGGTTACTCTAAACTAGAAATAGTCGGTAAGTTCCATCGTATTTCGTATGTATTGTAATTTCGCTTGCTAAAGGTGTAATTTTTGTTCGTAGAAAACCTGCCTTATTGCCTAACTGGGTGTTTACTCGGCTTGCTTACTGGAACATTTGTGGATTTTCTTTGGAATACCTGTAAATAATTTGTTGAGTCTTGCGCTTGTGTGGTCCTGCGAACTGCGTAATAAACATTTTTCCAAAATCTGATGAGCCCGTATCCATACTGCATAATTTTTCTGACTAGCAACTTGGTTTACTTCAATGTCAGGAATTATAAGTAACTAACAATGTCCCTGAATAATAATAAATAGGCCGGAACACACGAAGGAAAGCAAAATTATTTGGTAGCTCAGGAATGAAGTACAAAATAGTAATAAAACTAGTAATAATCAAAGATTAGTAAAGTGCGTTCGATCTCTAGTAAATTTTTTTTGTACTGATTGCGCAGAAAAAAATCGGTGTCTTCAGCTCTAGGCGTCACGATCGATCCTTTTGGGACTGGTCCATAAAACCCTCGAGAATGATTTCCGTAAAAACGACACGCCTTTAATATGCGTTCTCCTTCGTCGAGCGCAAATATTTTGGTCTATACATAATTTTTCATGCTAGGAAAATTGTGTTGGCACTACGAGATAATAGACCACTCACAGCTTGAATATAAGGCCTCAGTCACATCTTTACTTTCTCGACATCTCTTCGAAAACTTTCACGGCCTGGCAACGATAACAACTGAGGAGAATAGAAAAATATATTTACATCATCTGGGGTTATTTTACTTTTACTGTTACATTTTAACTTTCATTCATGAAGTCAGTATATCTTAAAGAGCTCCAATCCATTAATTTCAAATCTCAAAGTATGATATGTATAATGACAAGCTAAATATGATGACTTCATCAAAGGTCTCACAAGATCTTATGATTTTACAATAATATGGCCACAAAGTTCGAATTCACTTAAAAAAGGTAGATACCCGATGAAAAAGACCTATTGCCCTCCTGATCTCTAAACACATTAGTTACAGTCGCCTTCTCCTGTTTCAATACGAATCTCTTCGGTTTTGCTACAAGACTACTTAATAACACTTACAGCGTGGGCAAGCGATGTCTCACCCGAAAGCATAAGGAATTGAAGGGAAAGCACAAAGTAAATTTGGTTATTCAGCGCAAATGATAAATATTATTTATATACTTATACAGCGCCACGTTTCGAGTTAGTTACCGCACATACAAAAGTAGTTAAAACTTAATATCCAAAAGCTTGTTACATAATCTGTTCCTGTGACAAATCGCTAGGAATCGTTAAACATTTAACCAATTTTCTTTCCCAGTGTTCCTTTTCAACATTCTTTGAAAGGTCTATGAAGCTCCTTTCTCGCAGCTCCTTTGGGGGTTTTCCTCTGTCAACATCATCAAGTTTGATGGCGACTAAACTGTTATCTCTCCTTTCCATGAGTCGGTGAAGGGCGTAATCCATCTCAAAACCGCAATATTTGCTATTGAAAAAGTTATTAGACACGACAGCTATTGTTTTTCTTGACTTGCATACACTGTTGACCATATTTTCACAAAAAGGTACTCCGACAACGAAATCTCTGTAGTGTACACAGCATTTAAAACCGTACTTTTCCTCCAAAGTTAGAATTAGAGTTTTAGTCACCCAATCCGAGTCTTGGGGGCTGAAAATAACGAACGCGTCGTATTCAAATTCAAGTTCTGAAAGCAAAAAAATAAGGACACGTTGTTGGCTGAGAGTTCGACAGTAAAAATTTACTGGAGTCAGATTTTGCCTCAAAACCCGTTAAGGTGATTCCTCAGAAAAAATAAAGTTATCAAACAATTCTTTTTTAAACTTTCCTCGAATGTTCCCGACCAATGTCTGTTTCGAAAAGTACAATTTAAAAGGTAGGTCACAGTGCTCGTTTAAGAGATATGATGAGCCAAACTTACCCCATTGATGCCTGTTCTGGCACTAATCGCGCGAGTCATTTCATTGATTCGCGGCACATTTTGCTGCAGCTGGAAGCAAGGTGGCTAAAGTAACATTTTAGAACTGAAAAACTCGATAGGTTGAAAGTCTTGAGCGTATGGAACAGTGTGATATGTAATTTGTGAAAAATTACGCAATTTTAAACTACATCAACTTAAAACGTTCCTCGAGTCGTTGTTTTAAAGTGCCAATGACACGAAATTTTTTTCGCATTTTTTGGTTGATAGCTGTATTCAAAATTAAAAATAATCGATTTAAGCGCCTAACGAGTTCTCCTTTACCATTTTTTGTGCATTGAAAGTACGATTTGGCGGCCAAAAAGTGTTCCCATTCAGCGCGCAGCCAAAACGATCATGTTACATCGTTGTGACTTAGAAAACTGTGAAGGCACCTCTATTGTGGAGAAAGGAGAAATCTAAGAGGACAAACGTATTGCGTGGCCGGAGAGCCAAGTACAAGCCACAAGAATATTAAAAATGTACAGGGTATTTCTATACACTACACTCCAAAGGATGTAGCTGTATGGCCAAATGGACTCGTTTCGATCGTCGACGTAGAGGGGAGTTTACTCTTCAATGTCTTCGGCCTCATGCTCCGTACCGGCTCTGAAGGCGGCTGTTACGAACACATACCACTAGACAAATAAGGGAAAGATAACCAAAGAATTCAGCTTAAAAGAATGCTGATTAAGGAGCCTGTACCCATACCGCAAACGATTGTTCAACATTATTTTCGGCTGACATGTCGCAAGCGAAGAATTGTGAGCTCCTAATTGTTCTGGTTTATTTCACGCGCTTGAGATGTACTCGTACTCCTTGTATTTCCACATGACTACATTTGCGCTTTTCTTATCGTATGAAAATCCTACCAGTTGTGAATTAATGACTGAAGTTTTTAATCATTGTTTTGAGCGTATTTTGTTACCAGAAATACATAATTTGTGATAAAGTTCAAGCCCTTTCCTGAACTGACCGATATCCTGTTGCTGGAACAGTGCGAAACCTCTAGCGGATATTGGCATAAACACAAGCTCGAAGGGGCCGTTTATTCTTCGAACCTAGGTTTCCGAAAATACATCCCACGAGCCATCAATTCCCCCTTGCCCTCAAGAAACTGAAAATAGAAACAGTAGTAATGTTAATGTGATAACAGCACTGCAACGAGATAAATAAAGAAACAAAAAATTTTATTGAATTAGATGGTAGCGAATCCAAGTGCTGTGTGAAAGTCGATGCATACAAAATATTAATTTACAATACTGATGTCAGTTATTTGCCATTGAGCGAAATGGGTGATATGGAAATGCTGCACTTAAACTAAAGAAATTTCCTCCATTAAAATCTCTATTTGAGGTTCACTTGAATCAGATAAACTCTCTCGTTTTCCGTTTGACCGGCTCGACGGCAACAGCCTCAGTCTTTGCAACCTTTGAGGAAAGGAGCAACTTGCAGTGAAACTGCCCGATGACTTCTCGGCAGAAAATCATCGTGACTCGTGATAAAGCCGATTCTTTCGTCAAAACGTTAGCTTGTGTTTGCTACGGGAATCATTCTACAGCAACGAAACTCTAGCAACACTCACCAAGGGGAACCCTTGCCGCTCTTAGTGCGAAGGAATAAAACGTTGTCAACAAAAACGAACACAGCTACCCATTCCTAACAAAGATTTCGCCATAGAAAACAAAACACAAACGCAACAAACTAAACCTTCAGTAACGTGAGTTTTTTGTTCTAGTTTTGACCTGAACACCGCACGAGAGAAACCGTCCTAGTCAGTCTTCGTCGAAATCTTTGTTTGATGCACGCGGTTCTCCTTCATAGGGCTGAACCGTACTCGCAGCCTCCATTTCTTTTTTACCACTTGAGTACAATTTATCAAACTCTCGGTAGAACCGAGTTTTAAGTTTTTTGAAATCGTTATTCTATCGGAATTGGTTTGTACATATGATAAGCTAAATATTTACGCGAAGAAAAATTTCGTGTCAAAGGCACTTTAAGTCATAATTTTGCATCATCGAGTAACAGACTGTGCACGCTTTTAGCAATATCTTTTTTCCAATTCGATGAATTTTTTTAATTTGCTTAATTTAAAGGGGAGAATTTATACACAACAATTGTGCAATTTATTGACTATTCTACCTCATTACCCAGCCCACTTATTGAAAAACAATACCGTGTTCTCGGAATATGCTTACTTGCCTGATAACCTGATTTTTATGCCCAATACAGGATGCACAGTTGAATACTGAGGAATCACCTTAACAATATTAAAAGTATGGGCTGGCACGGTTAAAATTCATAATGAGATCAAAGGGCGTTCTCTGCCTCAAACACGCGAGCTTTCGGCTTTCAGTACATAGCCTAAACAAACTAAGAAGTAAAAAAGAGATCTTTAAACCTCTAAAAAAACTGCCGACCTCTCTGCCAAGTTAGACTTACCTGACATTAAAATTGGACCATTCATGGGCTCCTTGGTTCGGGATCGACGGCGCCAGCAGATAAAAGATAAAGCAGCTACGGTAATTAACACGCCTGCCGAGACGACTCCGGGGACAAGATGATCGCGAGTCTTTTTATCTGAGGAACGAGATACGTTTCAAGGTTATCATTGATTTCATACGCAATAGAAGTCAGGAGGAACTAGAAGATAAAAATGCAAGGTAACACTGGGAGCATGGTTTTGACGAGATGAGCTGGTGTTTTCTTAGTACAAGTTGGAGGAGATGGCTGTACCTCGAACTCTTCTCTCTTAGCCATTCGCATTATGTCTCGATTCTCCACTTTTAGTTTAGCAGTATAGGTTTTCAATCGAGCCCATTGCCTAAATTCCCAAACGTTGGTCCAGCTATAAAGAATAAAGGTGATATCCGCAAAAACAACGACATGTTAAGATGATAGAGAACGATCTTAGTCTGTGTAGATTGTAACTATTCACCGAAAAATGAGAACGTGTCGCATTTCGTACAAAATTATAGCAGTTCATGCGCAATAGTGGTGATAGGATCAAGTGGAGTCCACTTCGGTATGTAATTATACTTTTGATTAACAAATCGGACGAACGCGAAGCGATTTGTTAATCTCGACCAATTAATCATAACCATCACGATTTCCGATAAAAATACATTTGGAACAATTGTCTCAAGTTGAAAATTCCTCCATTTTGGAAATTCCCCAGTTTTTCTCAGGATAAGTGGTTGTTGCTATGGTTATTGTGATCAATTTTGTTTGTTATAGGTTGATTAGCTTAGTGGACAAAGTACGATTGGCTTCTTCAACTGTCAGATAACAAGTGTCCGATTACAGCCAACTGTCTTGTTACACTGTTCGATTACAACTCTACAAAATAATTCGTGAAAAATAAAGCGTTAGTGCACTAATCACATTTGAGGAAATTGTAATGGTTATGATTAACCCACAAATAGTTTCCTGTAAATTCAACAATATTTGGCTGTTTGGGAACGTCCAGAGACTAGAGTAGTAAGAACTTAACTAATTTCGTTGTCTTGCTCTCCCGGCAAGGTTTTGTTTTTAAAGCTTTCCCAACCGAAAGGAGCTGAAAGTTTTGGAAAAGTAATTGAGGCCAACACTTATTATAAGCAGAGCTTGTTACATCCAAGTTTCTAAATACAGGAACAGCTAGTTTGTTTTAAATGGATTTTACTTTTTCAGTTTTCTTCCTCTATCTCATATCCTGTTAATCTTGTTTTTTTAATGTCTCAGGATTAGATCCTAAAAAATGCAGCTAAGCGACGTGGGAATTTCTTTAACAAATATTACTTACTTTAGTAAATATTAGTAACTTTAATAAATATTTATAACTTGAGAGCAACCACTGTGATATATCGCTTACATTCAGCCTTGAATTAAGGCAAGCTCATAAGAGTATTTTAATCTAGTGGTTTTATGTTGAACAGCTCAAGGTTAACCAAGCCTCCTTAACATGAAGTGATTAGATTTATTACAGTCTACTTCCCACGAAATGATCGTCGAGTGATCATGCAAATTTCCTCCATTCAGCAGAAGAAGTTTGCTTCATAACCCACAATATTTTTATTCTCCCGGCGCCATTTCAAAACGTTTTTGAAATCAAGAAACTGAAAACGCGGTCTAAGATTCTAAATAGTAACCTAGCTTCACATAACAGTCTTCAAATGCATTAGGAATATGACCACAAACCCCGCATTTTTATCGCGCTTGGCAGCCTAGGACGCATATTCCTTTTTTACTTCTTGACAATCTGCTTCAAAAGTAAAGAGCTACACAAAAAAGGCATTTGCAATCTAAGATAAAAACTTCTTACCAAGCGAGCGAAAGGGCCGTACTGGGAAATATTGGCCCAGGTCTTGGCAGTCTGGACCTATTGCAGCCAGGTTCTTACAAAAAACGACTGGGGGCCAATATTCCCCATTGTGGCTCGAGCAAGCGAGGTTATCGAGTCAAATTTGTTCTATAACTTGCTTGCTTATCAAAACAAAAATACAGGGCGTATGACCGTTTCCGTGGAAACAGTCCGTATGGCAAAATACCGACCAAGTAAGAACCGATCAGAACACTCGGATCTACTTCAAGACTACCTTGCTATATAATAACTAGAAGTAATTAAGTTATATAATATATCAATGAGCTGTACCTCCTAAAACATTTGTAGGTGAAGCCGTTGGATCTGAACAAAAGAAAAAACTGTTTTTTTCACACAACAACTACCAATGACCAATACCCCAGGGCTAATAAGCAAATTCCCTTTCTTTCTTTCATATCATCTCTGCAAAACGTTTCCTTTAAACTCAAAAGCTGGACAAGATGAAGAGCACAAAGACAACCTTACACCAAAATACAATTTTCAACTCTAACTATAGAACATTTAGATATCAGATAGTTTTCCAATAACTAAGATCACAGCTCTCCTTTCGAAGTCGATATTAAATTAAAAGATCTTTAAAGTGCTCCAGAGATACCAGCTTTTTCACACACGGTTAAAGGAAAACAAAAACAAAAAATAGCTCGCTTAAGCAGGTAAAGTTTTCGAAAATATTCAATGTTGGATCATAAACAAAAGTTTTTCATTTAATAAAACTTATCGATAGATTTTTCCTCCACGTTAGTATTTTCTTTCTTTTTCTGTTGTATTGAGTGGAAACGAAATCAAATCATCATACAAACAACAAACCCAATTTAATATTTGCTCAAAATTTCAAAAACTCTTACCTTCAACAATCAACCTCACTGTGCAATTTAATTTTCCATAGCTATTGGAAGCCAAGCAAACAAACGTTCCACTGTCCGATTTAAGAACGTCCGTAATTTGCAGATACCAATGTGATTTTACAAAATACCGATCAGAGGGCAGATGAATCTTTCTCTCATCCTTATACCAAATGTAATTTTTAGCATCGCTCACGTTACAAATCAGCTTGACTTCCTTTTGTCTCATTTGTTCAACGAGCCTTGGAGGAGACGACCGCCTCAACTGGGGCGCAGCTGCAGCATAAGACACAAGAAAATCTAAAACTTCAATGTTTGGTCAAAAACAACAGTTGTAATTTTTATACCACTTATCGATAGATTTTTCCTCAACTTCAATATTTTCTTTTTCGTACTGAGCGGAAAAATCGCATCTTCTCATTCATGAATGAGCACTTTTTATACTCACCACATCCTCTCTCATCGGATCCATTACCACAATCGTTTTTTCCATCACATTGCAAATGACCTTGTATGCAGTCTCCATCACAGTGAAACATTTCTTTTGAACAAACCAGAGGAGCCGTCGTTGGACATCCATTTTCATCTGACCTATCATGGCAATCATTACGACCATTACACCTCCAAGACAATGGAATACAACTTTTATCGGCACAAGTAAACTGGTCTGCTTGGCAGGTTTTGGCTTCTAAAAGAAAGAAAAATAGGCTGTATTTTAACAACTAATTACACTCATAAAATCACGTATCTACCATATTATCAGAACTACAAGGAAATGTGGATGAACTAACATTTACAAGAGAAGATGAATTTTCAAAACTCAATCGATAATGTACTGTAAATGACATGAAAATGTTTATCTCCTAGGATTAAGCATATCAACATCGTCTGTATGAAACTTGGCCATTCCTGATATTGGATTTGTTTGACCGCGTCAAAATTAAGGCTTCTCCATTCCATTTTAGATTGGTATTCATTCAAAACAGTCAATCAAGCTGCTGATCATATCTGTCCGACAACGGACTCTTTTCGATTGCGGGGGAGAAGTTTAAAAATGGCGGAGTCTAACAGTCGAATTTCCACAAATTTTTTCTAATGTTTAGTTACTTTTAAACATAACTGGTTTTATTTCGAAATCTTCTTTGATGGGATATGCTAAGGCTGCATGCAAGGCTAAGTAAGCATATCCCATAGAAGTAGATCTATAGCTATCATTTCAGCTGAAAGTATTTACTGGAATGGCTACCTCCACTAATTTCGAAATCTCACGGTAATCTTGAATACTTTTTGTTAACTTCCAATTCAACTTTGTGGCGTTTTCCTGAGCATAGAGTTTAGTCAGTTAGAGAGGCTATGTCACGACTCACGCATGCATACAGTGAATCAAGAAACTGGTAAAAAAAAACGGGCCAATGGTAGCCACTACCTTAGAGTTCCATACAATCTATTAAATCCTGTGATGTTGTTCTAGTCTGAAAAACACTACCGACACTTCAATTAATTCTGGGATTATAGTTCTCCAAGTTTACAACATGCGGTGCAACTTGGAAGGATGAAGGAAAATTTTTAGCCAACTGCAACACACTTTTCCCGTCATTAATTTTTACCATGAAAAGTTACCTAGAAACTTCAGGGTCGTGTTGTGCAAGTGATCACCTTAACAGTGAATGGATCTCCAGAGCCGTTGCCAGTTTTTTGTTTCGAGCAAACAGGACACAGTTATTGATTGCATTGATTGTCTTCGTTCGTTCTTTAAACAATGCTGTTTACCTTTTACTTCAGTTGAGACAGCTTATTTCGTCTGTTTCGATCTTACCACGGACATGAATTCTCGCATTCTGAATCGTTGCTAAGCGTTCTTGGACCGCTTATAGCGTTACAGATTTGTCGCGAAGTTTACAACACGTTTCAAAGTCAAGACATATCAAAACCCCGGTGGTAACCACGACTGATGTTCTACCTACGAAAAAATTGAACTCGGGCTTCCAACTAGACACAGCGTAGTCCACATATTATTGACATGGCTCGACAACTTTGTGATACTTCGAAAATTTTGAACAAGCGAAACCCGTATATCACGAGAAAAACTAAGAAAATGTTGGCATGATCATTCTGCCAAAACGAATGTTTTACAGAGGAATGATATCTGTTCCCCACAATTTTTGCTCAGGAGAGAATGAGATAGCTTGCATGGGATCCCTGTGGATGCAAATCAGAGCTGAGCTTCTTTTTCATACTCCGAGTTAGTTTACTCGGTTTGTCATTAAAAAAGGCTGTCTGCCTCAGGGGTGTGCAATTAAAAAGTCGGAATCTTTTGGGGAAACTCGTAGATACCTTGGAATGTTGACTTCTTTTGAACGCAGCTGGGAATCAGTGAAGAATAAACCCTTGCAACGGCCGTGAAAAACGTTTTAAGCTTAAAATTAAGTGTTCTTGTATTCCTGGTACCATGATCAGATTGACACAGATCTCAAAACGGAAATAGAAAAAAAAGCTTAAAAGCAAAACAAAGGAAAAATTTATGGTGATTCGAAATTGACTTGTGACTCAAACTTGACTCGGGCTCGGACTCGCGATATGGTATAAACCGATTATGCGACTGGTTGAGCCATTTTAAGCCTTTATTTTTCGCTACCCGGTAAAAGTGACAAGAATTCCCCAAACTGCTTTCCGAGAAGGAAAAGTTGCCATGTTTTTGCTTCAAGAAAATAGCTACAAAAAACTAACAAGATTTCCATTCAGAAATTTATTAAAAAACCAAGAAAATATCAGTCGATATTCTCTTGGAAAAACTGATTTACAAGAAAACGAATAACAAAAGCAAAGTGCATGTGTACTTTACCGACTCGCTCATTAGCATTAGTATGTATGACGACACAAAGTCTTGAGGCTTTGTCTCCTCTAAAATCACATAAAAATTACTCCGAGAAAGAAAACGCATTAATCTTGTTAAGACAAGTGACTTTGATTCATCTATAATTTGAATCTTTGACATATCATAGAACATAACTTATGAAGTTCACATACCTTCAACAATGAGCTGTATTGTGTGACTACTTTTGCCGCAGTCGTTCACAACGACACAGGTGTAAAAGCCGGCGTCCTCTTTCTTCGCCTTTCGTATCCTTAGGTATCTGATGATGAACTGTGAGCGTCTGACTGTACATTGATGACCTCCTCTGAGAGTCTGATTGTCCTTGAGCCAGTAATACTTTAACGTTTGGTTCGGATCAATGATCTTGATCCAGCAAGGGAGTCTTTTATTCTTCCCGCTATTAACCTTGATGACCTTTCTGGGCTCGCTTCCATTCTTTCCACGGATTTCAGGAACTGAAACCGGAGAGTTATTTCTGTTAAATCTCAGTTTTGCATGCAGAGTAAACTGAAAAGTTCTGGTGTTGTTCGTTAAAATCTAAATACGTGTTTTTTTTTTATTTTAAGTCCTTATAATCGTGTCCTCAATCGCAGTAAATTTCAAGAACTAATTTTAACAAAAAACTAGACAAAAACGGCTGCTGGTAGGCGTGCGAACTTGAAATGTGGCTAAACCTCCAGATACCTCATAAATGACTCTCAAGGTGTTTTTCACGGCAAAACATCCTAGTTCTTAAATCTCAAACGCGTCATTGCAGTTAAAAATATCGAACACTGGTTCACCAGTCTCTAGGTTTCTAGTCACTGTCACTGATTTACGCCCAAACTTGCAGTTTGAAAATGTTTCTATATCCAATAAAGGCTTAATACTATTATAGTCTGGTTGTGGAGTTCTGTCGTCCTTTATTATTTGCCATCCGCTGATGATTCTTTTCAAACACACGTTATTTCCTTGAAGCAGAATCTACAGCGTATTTAGTCATGTCAGTTATTCAATAATTTACCGGATGAGGCTACATTTAGAGTTTCTTTCATGTGCGTTGTCCTAAGCTTATGCCACCAGTGTTCATATCGGAAATCCACTATAGAGATCAGCTCCAAATATCGCTAAAAAAAAAAAAAGCTGTCTTTGTAGGCTGACGGTAAAGACAAAGGTAGCAATACTTTTCACAGTGATTTCCATTTCAATCATTCCTCACTCTCTTGAAAGATGAGGGAAGTCTCTTTCGAGCGCTTCTTCGTAAATGTATCTCTCGATTCATTTCTAAGTTATATCTTTCTCAGTAAAATGTGAGGTGTAAGGTGCGTGAAGAGGAAGGTTAGTGAGAATTTCATAGAGTAAACTACGCACAAAACACAACAAACAAGAGCCATCTTGGATCATGTGAGTTCTGTTACACTGTTTTGAGCCTGATAATATGAGCAATTTGTTCCGAATTTTTAACATAAGTTATCCGAACGGTTTTTGAGTTTAGTGTTGTTAGTATGAGTGGAGATAATTCTTAATGATGAAAATAGAATCTCAAACGCTGAGTAAGTTTGGGAAACTATAAGACTTTCACTTACAGCTCAACTCCTGTGACACAATGCGCAATATATTTGAATGCACCATTTCATATTTGTAAAATATTGCTGCCACATGAAGAAAATTAATTTTGTGTGCCAGAATCAATACTTACTAAGAAGTAATTTATCTGGCAGCCTACAGCGATGCTGTAATGCAGTTACACACAAGCTTTTTGTACATAGAGACTAAATATCATGGGTGAAAATTAGAAGTAGAAACTGGGAAGCAATGTTTACCAACTATATTGATAATAAAGTGTTACAAAGGCCAAACTTCCTTTTATTTTTTAAAAAATTGCTATACTGTGAACTTTCCTACACATCAGGTATTCTTTGCCCTCCGTTTATATCCCAGGACCTTTTACTGATCGAAATAGCTTTGAAGCATGTGGTAAACCCACCACTTTTGTATCACGTGTCTCGTTTAATAAATAGGCGTTGCCTCTTGTTGACAGATTTATTCGATGACAAGAATCGTGATTGACATTAATTCAATAGATTGATTTGAAAGCGTTAGATTATTATGTTTCAAGTCAGTTTTTCAGCAGAATCGAAGTGAGAAAGAAGTTATTTTGTTATCGTTTTTCTGTCTTTAAATCCGCTTACCTGGAGAATCTGCTAACCCGTAAAGTGAAACTGTTGTAACGACCCTGCCACAGAAGTAAGTTTGTATTGAAGTTTTTGAATTTAGTTAAAAGTTAAAGACTTGATTTGCATTTGTTCCAATTGCGAATTATAAATTAATGTATTTCTTTTAGATCGAATAATTATTAGTTTGGGTTGATATTATACGGTTTGTGGTGGTCATTTGATCTAACCAGTTCCGAGTAAGGAAACATCATGCACAAAAAATCTATGGGTAAATACCAGTAACTCTTATTTTCTCTCTGAGCTCGAAAGATACAGAAATATTTGAATTTTGAAAGCTAGTCGTTGGATCAGGAAAGTGAGAAAAATGTTGACATCTAATGCAGGCTTGACAACTGACCCCTAGGCAACAGAAAATAAAAAGCCCCTGCTTGAGGAGGAATGAAGAACAAATTAGAGTTGTTTTAGTGTAAACACCTCTTTACTCGAATCCAGTAGCAACTGAGATTTGATTGAGTTTCTTTTGGTCTCAAAAAGCTAGAGTTGCTCTCGACTGCGCCTCGAGCTACTCTTACGCATTTTTCGCGCTCTCCAAACTTCCCGCGTGCATCCATAACTCGATATACGCATGCTAAACATAAACACTCTCTTTTCTCTCTCTCAAGTCACTTTGGTTGACTGAAAAATTTTCGTTTCAGAATGACTTTTTTGTATAAGCAATAGTGTCATTACGTTGGTTGACAGGCAGCCTAAAAACCGTCTGCAATTAACTTTAATCGTTCACAAAAAGTACCCAGAAAGTTAAAACATGAGATATTTGGTTACAGTTGAACTAATCGATGAAACTTTCATTTAGTTAATATCTGAATTTTCTTAAACAATTTGTTCGTGGTGAAAGGGCGAGCGAAGTTTTAATTTCAGTTCTACAACAAATATACGCTCTCGATGAGTCTTTTCAAGTCCATTCAATTTGGACATTTGTACCGTAAACCGCACAACAGAAACTTAAGGAATGCAATGAGAAAAGGCCGCATTAAATCCCATTGTGTCTTGTTGGAGTGTATCATCCGAATTTTGTTTTTTTGGAGGAAAGACCAGATTTTCACACGCCGTTGCAGCAAACAAACGAGCAAATTCTCACATCTCCAAAACAAAAACTTTGAATTTACTCACAATTACTTTCCTCGCCGATTACTTATTAGGTAAATCTTCGTACATTAAATAATCGTCGATGAGAGTGAAGAATACTTACCGTAAGATCATTAACTGTTTTTGAAGAGCACATTGTGGTAACAGTCCTTGCCCAACTAGTTTCGTTGTTTTTCAAAAATGTATACATGCGCTTTTTTCTTTTCTTACGCGCTATCTAATTGACAGGTGTCAGATTGTGACAGATACTCGTATACTAATGTTTCAAAGTTTGTTTGGAAGCCTTTTAAATCACCTTTTCGGTGAAGCATCTGCGTCACCTCTATTTTAACTACCATTTACTCACTCAAAAACTGTTCAGTTTATGGAAGATCTTGTCGTATTTACGGCCCTAAATCATTCGGGTTATTTCGGAATGTATTTCGTTAAGTTTAAAAAAAAAATGTCGTTTACAGGCTAAGGGTCGGTCCGTATGATGAAAAACTGTGACCGAGGTCACAAGGACCTCTCAGCCGGCAAATAACATATCTATATTAATTAAGAATTTGTTCATGCTCAGCGTGCGTATATCGAGTTATGAATGCACGCGGAAAGTTTGGAGAGCACGAAAAATGCGTAAGAGTAGCTCGAGGCGCAGCCGAGGGCAACGTTGGATTTCTGATTGCTGTCCAAGCTTCCCAAGTGCATCCATAACTCGATATACGGACACTGAGGATCTGCGAGAAGAAGCTTTTTATTGAAATTCTCACTACGCACAAAAAAAGTAAACAAACGTCCCTATAGGCTGGTCAAAAACACGCCACATTTTATACTTTAATTTGAGCGAGAACATTTGATCCAGTTAACCGACAACTGTGAATGAAAAGCTCAAAACTTAAGGAGAAAATGGAGAAAATCAAAGCCAGATGAACTCAAGTGTCATTAAAAAATGTTTTAAAAGTCAAAGACCCAAAGTTATCAAAGGTTTTGATGTGCAACTTCCGAGTTGTTTATATTTGTTGCTTGTTGGATCAGGACCTAAAAGGTCAATGCTGATAGAAAAATTGGGCAGTTCTTCGCTGGTTTCTTCCATATTTCAAAGAGAAGGGAAACTGCGCTGCAGCCTAACGGTACGAAAACTCTGAAGCCAGGTGAAAAAAATGCTCACGTCATCTTATATACGCACAGGCGTTCGTAAATTAAGAATTTGTTCATAGCGGAACAAAAGGACTTATATGGGGCAAGCACGTGCGCTATGTTACAACACACTATTACACTAGCAAATTACGCCGTGTTACTCGGAACTTCTGCCTTTTACAGTTCAACATGTAACTCTTCTCTTTCCTCCTCATTTTTGTAACATTGTGTAATGATCTTGAAGACAGGAGTTGGTTGGTGAATGTTGCCATTATTAGTCATACTGGTGAGCTACACACTCAAAAATCTTTCAACGGGAGTTCTGTATTTACTTCACAAAGACAATCATACAAAAATTGTTATAAAGGGGGTTAGTTTCTAAAGAAACTGTGGTGCTGCGTCAGTGGGTGAGTATAGCAGGTAATTGAGTGTTGACAACCAAGTTGAAAACGTAAATTGGCCACCGTAAAGGGTAAAAAAAGCTGACATTTCGAGCGTTAGCCCTTCGTCAGAGCGATTGGAGGAATTATGGGTTGTGTGTGGGTTTATTTGCAAAAAGTAGAGCTACGTTATCGGTGGGAATATGGTGACGAGAAAACAGGAATAAATTAGTTGAATGAAAAGCGCTCGTTGATTTTGTAGGGATTAAGGGCGCCAATTTGGAAGATAAATTTTTGTTCTAGTGTTTTGTGGCTTTCCGACCTCCCTAGATGTAAGGAAAGGCCGCAAACTGCCATGTGCTGTTTTAAATGATTAGGGATATTAAAGCGTCTAGCGACTGGTTGGGATGCGTCCTTGTAATTTCTTTCCACGTCGCGAAGGTGTTCTCGGAAACGGTCACCTAGTCGTCTTCCTGTTTCGCCAATGTATAACTTATTGGAATAAGAGAAAGTTATGCAGTAAATAACATTGGCGGAGGTACACGTAAAGTAATCAGTAATCTTAATGGATCTCTTGGGTCCCGATATTTTCTCTACATTATGAATGAAAGGTCAAATTTTGCATCGTGAGCGAGCGCATTTGAAAGTTCTAGATTGGTCATTGGTTTGAAATTAACTTCTGACCAAAAAGTTGCCTATGTTTTTGTCACGTTTGAATGAAACAGGTGGGGGTTGCGAAAGGATAGTTTCGTAAACTTTGCCCCGTTTACTAGGGATAGAATTCTAACGAACTTGAATCAATCAAACTGTTTTATTCAATTCTCGTAGTCACTTATTTACAACGGGTGTGTAAAAAGCTACTCAGCAAAATTTGTAAGAAATCACTCTCTTATACGATATTCCCTACATTGTGATTGGTTGTTGCTAAGTGCTGATTTAAAAGGTCATTCAAAGTTGCGTTGATCATGTAAACCGATCAATGTTGCAAAATCACTACAGACGGTGCTTCTAGCTCTTGAAATAATGTTCACACTCATCATCTAACATGTGTCACGCACGAATGACAAAGTCTCCGACAATAGTGCCAGTCTCTGAATCGTTTTAGAGTAATTGAAAGTTTTTAAGAATGATAGATCTAACCGCGTGGTTGTGAGGGTGAAATGTGACAATGAATGGAATGCGGTCAGTGTTTTCCTTCTCAGCCGTTTGTAGTGCTGATTGACGATCAATTTCTTGGGCACGGTTGAGGCCCGCTTGAACGACAGAAACAGGATAGCCACGTTTATCGAAAAACTGGCACATTGCCTCTGATTTTTCGGAAAAATCAGAGTCGTCACTGCATAAACGACAAAGTTTGAGAAACTGTGCAAAAGGTGTGGAGTTCTTGACGTGTGATGGTTGTGAAGCTAAATACAACAACCATGTGAATCTTTAGGTTTGTAGTAAACACTAGTGCATAAACCGTTGCCTTAAATTGAAATTTTGATGTCTGAAAAAGCCAAAGAAGAGTCGGAAATTTCCCAGGTATATTTAAAAGCCGGATGAAAGGAATTGACGGCGGTTATAAATTGAGTGAGTTCCTCTCTGGTAGAGGAGGTAGCGCCTATGCAATCGTCAATGTAACGGCCGCAGAGTTCAGGTTTTGGGCCATGGTATTGACTAAAAAATTGATGTTCGATAAATCCCGCCAAAAGATTGGCGTAGCTGGGTCCCATTTTAGTACCCATGGCCACGCCATTAGTTTGTTTGCAGTGGTTACCACCGAATGAAAAGCAATTGAGTGTGAGTACTAGTTCGGCCAAACGGAGTAGTGTTTCTAGCTAGGTTCCTGAACAATGCGATGATCGAAAAAATGTTTGAGGGCCTGGAGACCTTCGTCATTGGGAATGAGAGTATAAAGAGATATAATATCCATAGTGAAAATAAGTTTGTTTTGGCCGAGGAAACTAAAGTCACGAAAAATTTCAAGTGCGTGTTGGTTGTCCTTAATGTAAGATGGTAAAGTTTTGACGAAAGGTGCCATAATTCTGTCTAAATAGCTGGAAATAAGTTCGGTGGGACAACTATGGCAAAACGATGGGTCGACCTGAGTTGTTAGGTCTGTGGATTCTAGGTAAAAAAGTAAATACACGAAGTTCTGGTAGTGGTGATGGTGAGATTTTTGGCAGTGGCCGGCAATTCTTGTTTAGCTATAAGATCGTTAATCGTATTTTTGACAATGTTTTGCTTGATCAAAGTGAGATCTTTGTCCACTTTAGCATAAAAGGAGGTGTCAGAAGGTTGCCGCAAGGCTTCTTTTTGGTAGAGGTCGGCCCGCCAAACAACAACTGCGCCGCCTTTGTCGGCCGCTTTAATGACTATGTATTTGCGTTTTTTTTAACTTTTTAGTGCCGACCACTCTTCCGAAGAAAGATTGGAAAATTTGGTGTTACGTTTGAGTTTAAGTTTGTTGATAATATATCTGAGCTTAAGTTATCAGTCATAGTTTTTAGTTATCAGACATCAATTATATTGTTCAGTTATTTAGTGACCAATGGGTTACTAAATAAGGGATAGGTCCTCTCGAACATTCTTCTCTGGTCTAATTGGAAGACAGAGTGCTGAGTTTCGTGGACAGAGGAAAACTAAAGAAAAAAAACAATTACAAACACAAATACAAACTCAACCCGCACGTGATGCTAGGTCCAGAATCAATGCGTTATTCCTGCGACTTTAATCTGTGGATGAGACCTTTTCTACGCTCTCTAAAGATATCTGTAAGAGTTATTTGCAGAGCAAGATGGCGACACCATCAGTGGGACATATTTAAGGTGGATTCACACCAACCTGAACACGCACGAGTGTTCCGTCCACTATCCAGAGCGCCCAGAACACCTAGAAGAACCGCCTTGAGTATAAGCGAGCTAAATGTCATGGCCACTAACAGTCGGATTTCTTGTTTCCACTGACTCCACCTGAACAACTTTGATTATAATCTCAGTTGGAGGATATAAGGAAAAAAACGGCAGTTGACCAAAGGAGATGTTGATAAACCAACCAATTAACTGTCAGGGCGGAAGTTCGGATTAAGTTCTCAAAGTTCACATGAGGCTTCCGTGATAATTCTTCAGATTCTTTGCATCTTTGCAAGTATACCTAAAAGCTTACTGTTCATGACGTTAAACTCTAAGTCAGACGCCTAAGGGTTGAAGTTGAAATTCCCATTTCATATGGATTCCAGCTGTGGTCTGCTCGTCCACACACACACACACACACGCACACCCAATCATATAATGATCAAATAATAGCCCAATTACGGTTTGACATGCTGCTGAATTTGTCGGCTGTGATTTAAAAAAAAACACATGAATAAAATATCTGATCAACTGGAAACGCGAACTTCGGCGCAATCAAACAAACAAGAATCCCAACTGAGGGCGTTGCACAACACTAAAGAAAATTAATATTTTTTGTAAAAGGTCGTGGTCCTGAGAAAAAAAATAAAAAAATACCTCCCAAGGCTGAAAACAACTTCCCTTTCGATCAAAAGCTAAAAATCCGGACAGGAATTTCCCACGCCCCATGTTAACGTGTTATTAAGTGTTTCGTTAGTTTTCTGAGCCAGTTGGTCAGTTAGAATAGTTTATCACATAAACTGCGGTGTTATACAAGGATTCCTGGCCTTGAGAAAAGCCGTACCAATCAGCTGCTTATATGTCACTCGCCTTTGGCGCCACTCGGTCAGGTTGATGAATGAACGGCAAAGCCTTCACGATTCTCATTACAAGTTGTTTGTCGGAGCTTTCTCGAATTATGGCGGAGAAAACACTAAAAAATCCGTATCGCTGACAGACAATGAGGTTCAAACTTTCCTAGAAGGGGAAGAAAACCAACATACTAGAAGGAAAACCAAAAGTTGCATATTCAGTGGCTTTGGTGTTGGCATTTCTCTCGGCTGAGAATGAAAATCGACAACTGGAAGATTTGTCACTGGCCGATTTTGGCCGTTTACCTGAAAGACTTCTTCTGTCGGTAAGGACAAAGTCAATAAATGAGAATTTTGTAAATTGAAAATTACGACCATTGTTGTTTTTGTAATCACGATTCAACGCATTTTCCATCTTAAGAGTCAGCGCCAACTCACTCCACGACTGTTACTTCTAGGATTGTCGATTCACTTATTTTCATTCATTAATGAAGTCGGCTTTTCTTCCCAGAAAAGGGCTATTGTGTTTATATGATAAACAAAATAATACATTGTTGCTTGTAGATATGGAATTTCTCTTCTCGTGTTGAACTCCACATCTCACTCGTTCGCTGCGCTCACTCGTAAGCTAACGAGTTAAACACTAGAAGAGAATTTCCATATCTACGCCTGCCCATGTATTATTCTCTATATCAGTTAGCCTTTCGTTTACATTCTGAATGTGGTTATTGTATGATTTCGAATTCTGAAATTATCAGGGTTTGGGCTGTCGTGATGCAGCTCATTCCCCGACATTAGATTACGTAACAAACGTAAATGGAAGTAGTCACAAAAAGCTATATTGGTTGGGGGACCCCACGCAAGTTAGGGCCAGATCCAATAGATATAAAATTTCACTTGTGTGATCGTGTTTTAGTGATGTCACAAGATACTTTCATTGGTGGGTCACAGAAAAATACTATCAAAGCGAATGCTTTAAGTTAATCCTTCTAAAGCTAGATATCATTTCAAAGTTTATAAACTACATAATTCGATAATAAACTTTCCTTTTTCGGAAATACAGAGATGAGAATCTAAAAATAAAAAGAGAAAAGTACACATGTCACCGTTCATGTGCCTTTAATCAATTAACACGTGCTTGCGTCTTGTTTCCGCAAACAGTCTTCAGAAAGTCAGCGCATATTGTGCTGACTGACTTGACTAAAATCTTATTAACAACACGGTGCCAATTTTCAAGGTAATTGGTTTATTTCTGTGTGCCCCTAATTCGGAAATGCTTTGCCAATTGGTTCGATAATCAAATTAAGCAGAGAAAAGCACTTCCAAAGTTTCCTTAGACGATTTGTTTAGTTTAATCAAATTTGATTTTTTTTCTTTAATTCACGCGAGAAATAATATGTTCATCTGCTAAAGTGGTGATTTTCGATAGATTACTAGATACTTAAGATTTAGTAAAAAACTAATTTTCGCAAAATTCGTCCCTGAAAGTATCTTGTATCCTTACAAGGAAAGAAACGGTAACTTGCCCATTAACACTATAAAAATTTAAACGGACTAGAGGAATGAGGATGAAGAAGAGGAGTGGTACGAACCGACAATGACAGTTTCAAATGATTACGCTACATTTTTCACGTCTCGGTCTGTTAAATGAAATGTTAATCGACGAGTTAGTGATATTTTTTAGCCTTCATGAGCCATTTGAAGCGTCTTTTTACGAAATGACTTTTGGCCGAAGGCCGTAAAAATAAGAACGGTCTCCCTTTCCACTTACTAAGGAAAAGATTCTCTTTTAACTTAATTGACGATCCTTGGAATTTTCATTTTTTTGTTCGAGGTCATCCTGAAGTACATGTATCGCAAAAGCAACATTAATAACTTCCTATTCAAGCCACATGCTGTCTGGACCAATTCAAAGACAGTTCAAAAAGGTTAATTTAACAACAACATTGCGGTTTCAATGTACGGGAGGTAAAAGGCGTTATCAAATGAGACCACAACAAGACATTCTTGGCATTCTTAATAATCAGGACCATGTCACCACCGAGCCATTATCACTTTGGGTTTGATATCACTGAAATCTGATCAAAAGACGGCTACTGACATCATTTTGTAACCACATTGTTACTTGGACCTTTAAAACGCAACGTCCAGATCATCCGTGCTATTAATTGTCACACGAGAAAGAGCCTCCTTCGATGGTCAATTAAGGATCAGCGTGTGATCAACCAAAAGACACAGACGCGTTCTTTTTTCACAAAACTACGTGTTCAAACAGATTTGAAATTGAAAACCGAGTGTGAAAAACCGTTCATGACACAAAAGCCTAACCATAAACATACAATCGGTACTTCGATTTCTTTTCATTTCTGATCCTACTTCAGAAGTTTTCCGGTAAATTGTTCCCTAGCGATTAACTTCCACCTTTTTTTTTACTACGTCCAATAGAAAGAAGAAATTCGACCATTTTCCATTCACCAGCACTGTAAAAGCATAAGAAATGGTGAAATATCTATACCCATAGATATCACTCGATATGAGTTACATCCTTACTCGAGTCCTTTTTTTTTTTTCTTTTTTAAAGCAGACAGATTATTACTGTGAAAAATAATTTCTCTGGTTCATGTTTTTTTAAAAGGGGCCATAGTTATAGAACTAAAAAATGGCTACAACGAAAGTCATTTAAATGAGAATGAAAAAACAAGCGGTTATTATGGGAAAATGTTCCTTGAGAAGTGATCAAAAAGACATTAAATTGTCCAAGAGGGGTTTAACCCTTTTTAGCATGAAAAGAAAAGCAATTAGAGAAGCCATTTCATCGCGGAGATAAAACAACATTCGAGGAATATCCTACTGGGTCAGTAAATATATTTCAGTAGATTTTGAGTCGAAAGCTGGGCAATCTGAAAGATCCTCATCAATGCTAGTGTTGCTGAATTCGAGGAGGTATTAAAAAGAGCTCTTTGTCCAACTAAAAAAACTTCGGTTTCGGCACAAAAGCCACTTGAGAATGACAGTTTACCTTGTGATAGATGATATCTCTTTCTCCGTTAATAGTAAGGTCTAGACGCTTTTCCCAAACAAGATATATGATGATTTTCAGATGTCTACTAAAACTCGGACTTTGCACGTAAGAAAAATTAAAGCGTTGAAGGGCCCATCTAACGGGAAATAGCCACGTGAAAAACTAAGATGGAAAAAACTAAACAGCGCGCCTCTCACTTAACGGTTTGGCTACAATCACCAGCTGCCAAGCTCACTTCTATTTGAAAACATACTTCGTATTCGGTATTTTCTTTGCTGAAGAGTGATAGTGCAGGACGAAATTATCGAGAACGCGCCATGAGCCGCCTAAAGGATTAAATCTTCCTCTGACACGTATTTCCAAGACCGAAGAAGAGAAACTAATTTCGATGACCACCCGAAGGTGGTGTAGATGCGTGGTCTTATTAAGAAAATGCTCGAGGAACATGAAAAAACCAAGATCAAAGCTCCCAGAAGCACAAGCAAACGGAATGAGAAGACACGATCAAAATCTAAAACTAAGGAGACGACTGCGAAAAAAGAAACTGCTGTCCCAACAGCAGAATTCGAAACTGGAAGTTCACGCGCATGTCTATCATTCTTACAGGTGGTCAAGGCTTCTAGAGACATCACAAACTGTACCGACAACTGCCATGATTCAAAGGTCGAGACAGGAGCAAAAAAGGACCCGCACGCAATGAAGATGAGACAGTCTCCGGCTGAAGGATACCGCTTGCTACCGATTATCCATCGCTCAACAATCACCATTAAGAAAGTGAAGGAAATGGCAAGAGAAATGGCTAAGGAAGAGGAGCGACTTAAAAAACGGAAGATCAAAAAGGTGGCTAAAAGGAAGTCAACTGGAGAAGTGAAAAATAAGGAAAAGTTTGCTCCAAAAATCAACCAAAGAACGAAGTCGTGTAGCCAAAAAATGACCAAACAAATGTTGTGTACACAAAAGCCAGTCATGCAAAAACATACCCACGAAAGCCTAGCTAAGGAAATGCTACCTAGAAAGCAGCTTATTACTAAGCGGTTGACCAAAGAAAAGTCACATACAGAAGGGCTACAGGTACAAACATTCCACAAAGAAAAGAAATGTGACAAAACGGTGGTTTATGATAGGTTGCTGGTTGGAGAAAAGTCTTCATCGAGCAAGTCATCTCCCACCTCTAACAAAATGGCGTCGAAACCCCTAAATTTCGCTTACACGATCCTTCTTGGCAGAACTTAAAAGCGCCATCGCTTTTAAAGTTCTCATTGATGGCAAACGTAAGGAAACAGTTCTGCTTTCAGCCAGGGTACCAAGACGACTCCGTAAGCTTGACAATCCGCCCAAGCTTACTGCTGAAATGATGGCTGAAAAGCAACTGGCCGTTCAAGAGAAAAGACTCAGAGAACTGGAGCGAGTCCAAAACTGCGCTCGCGCTTGTGCGCGGCCCGTTAAGAGAAATACCGCCGTCCGCTAATTAACATTTAATTACGCAGTATGGATGAAAAGTAGCGTTGCGCGATCAAAAGATTGGCAGTGCAGGAAAACCATCAGAGGTTCTGCATTAAGCTTTAAAAAGGTAAAGCCGAGCAATACAACGCAAGATAAGATCCTCATTCGAAGACAAAAACAATGTGTGATGTCAAACAGCTTTCTTATCATGAACCATTACGACAGAAAACAATTCATTCATTCCCTGAATTTGTTTCTTTGCTTCCTTGTTCATGAGGTTTAAAGAATTTAAGAAAATATTTAGAAGGTTCTCTTCCCTCTAATGAACTCAGTTTACCTCATTAAGGGCAAATATGATGGATATACACCGCAAGTTACGAACTTTAATCCACATGGTGCAAATATTCCTCTTGCAGCGCAATACGCGCTGTAATATGTGAACACAACTTTCAATCGATCAATCCTCTCTTTTTTTATTGTTGCTGACTCCTCCAATATCCTAGCGTTTAAGGTGACCTTAGTAGCTACATACCTTAGAGAAGTTTCAAAGAGGGGGCTATAAACACAGATTTTTTTAAACTGATTTTTGCTTATTTGGCATCTACATTGAAATTAACTTTTCACGTGTTTACAAAGCCTCGCCTAGAAGATTAAAGACAGTCATACACAGTTTGAGGTTTGCATAATCTGCGAGAATTCTCTTACCTCCCCCAGCGTTGGAATGAGGTAATGAAAAGTGGGGAAACGTCTTCTATTGTATTTATAACATATTTCTCAAAAATACGCGCGAACACAAAGCATCACAATCGTGTTTACGAAATCTCGTCCATACGCATTTATCGATTAATAAGGGCGACGATTTTCAAGCCCAGGAAGATTTCGGGTCCTTTAGAGAATCGCACACCGGGTCAGTGTAATCAGAACGAACAAACAACTTTCAGCAGGAATTATCAACGTCTTCATGACAAACCGACGAACAGAACAGAACACAACCATGGTGACGAACCAAAACCACGTCATCTTGATCCTCCCAGCCAATTGAATCTCAATAATATTGACCAAATTGTTTCGAACTATACCTTTAAAAGTCGACTGACTGACAAAGCTAACAAAAAAAGAGACCTTAAGTGCGATCGTTCTCACTCTCAGCAACTTGGACGATTCTTTTCATCACTACCCCAGCAAAGCGATCACACCGTAATAACCCTTTTAGGAAAATTTTCAGTCGAGTGTTGAAAGTAATCTGGTATTACTTTGAATAAAGGGGGTAATACAAGTTTCTATAGAAACTGTGGTGATGCGTCGGTGGGAGAGTATAGCAGGGTAATTTAGTATTATCAACTGAAATGATAACGTATTACTTTGGTTTTGCAGCACTTCGCTGTGTCTTTGGTCCAGAAACCCCGCAACATTTTCACAACCAATGAGTTCAAAAATGAAAATAGTCGCGACTTGGTCACTGAAGATCTCCCGCGCTTCAAGCAGTTTGCGTGTTTTCCCTCTGAAATCTCAATCGACCCGTTGTGATAATTTTTATCTCTTCTGATTGGCTGTTTTGACCGCTTTCGCTTTGGTTTTCAGAGTTCAGGCGAGTTTGTTAGCGGAACCTTCATGATAATGCTGTTCCACGGTATCTGCACATTGGCGACGATTCATAAAATTACGAAACTGTTGGGGGGTCCTCCACAATAACCCTCCAAACTAATTAAGCTGGAAATGACCTTGACACATCACAGATCATTTCGAACTCATTAAAAACGTCGACCAAGCACCACAATAAAGCGTTTTAGGTTTGAGCCTCATTGACAATAGGGCTGCTACTTGCGTAGGCGCAGATCTGTCCTCTCGGTCTCCGTGTCCGAGTTGGCCATAGTAGCCTGGAACATAACAAATTTACGTCACTACTGCGGTTGCGTGGTGCAGGTCGACGACAGTTGAATCAGTCGTGCGAGGTAAGAGCCATCAGTTGATCGAAACGTTTAAGCAAAATTATAAAAATCTTGTGCAAAATGTTGCTCAAAATCACTCAAAGGTCTACTCTCCCTGTTTCTACACATTAACCCTTTAACTCCCAGAATTGATCAACATGTAATTTCTTCTTGTAATATTCACACTCTATCCAGCCAACTAGCAATGAGAATATTCAGACTTATAAAGTTGAAGTTGTTCTTTTGATCTAACATCAAATTCTCATAACCAATTTACAAGGAAATGTGAAGCAGCTAGAGGAGAGAATTAACATCCAGATCTTGGGAGTTAGAGGGTTGATTATCTTTTAGGACTGAGGACATTTAATAAATTAAAGTAAGAATTCAATTGAGGAAAAAGGGGGTAATTTTCTACAGAATCTGTGGTGCTGCATCGGTGGGAAAGTATAACAGGGCAATTTAGTGTTATCAACTGAGTTGAAAACGTTAATTGGCCTTCATCAGAGCGATTGGCCAAAGAGCTAACGCTCGAAACTTCAGCCTTTAAACTCTTCACGGAGGCCAATTTACGTTTTCAATTTAGTTGATAACACTAAATTACCTTGTTATTTCATTTAAGAATCGAGTTCCTTTTAAATACAAGGGAAATTCGTATAGCAAAGTGGGTCATTCAACCTACCTATCCTTTGGTAGCTTGATAGACGCATAAAAAAATGAACTTCATTGATGTCATTTTCAAAATACAGAGAGTTGTGTCCAAGGGTAGGAAAAATTCTTCCCATTTTTCCTGAGAGGAAATTTGAAGGTAAAGAATGGCCATTGGTTTTGACTTCATATTGGTTTAAGTTAGAGTTTTCTCTCCAAGAAGTCTTACAGGGCATTCAAAACTGTTACGAACCAAAGCTACTTTAACAGAGAACTTCATTAATATGAGCCATGTTTCATTTTTTCTGCATTTCCTGAACATGTTTAGGTTGAACACAAAATCTATTCAGACAGTAAAAAAACAGTGCTTTTTAAACAAATGTTGCATGCTATTTAAAAATAATTTTACATAAACAGAAAAATTCATACAAACTTACCCCAACCCCATGTCCAGACACTCCCATCTCCTGTAAGCAAAAAAATTAAACCAGGATTAGTCACACTAACTAATTGACAATGAGGTAAATGGGTCAGTTCTCCTCTTATTTTATCTCCTACAGACCACTAAGCTTCTCTTTAAAATGTTGGTACTAAAAAGTTATGTGAGTCAGTCCTGATTATTTTTAAGGTGGATGTCTTATCCACTGGATAAAATAGGCAACACATAAATTGTTCATAAACACTCCTTGTCTTGATAACAATTTATCCCTGGACAGTGTTAATTGTCACCACCATTGAAACAACAATTAACAAAAGAGCGACTTCCCCAAATGTCCCCACATTTCAACCTAAAATAAAACAAAAGTTGAGCAACAGCACTGAACCACACTACCAAGTTAGAGGCTGCAGGGAGGACTAATTGACAAATATAAACAGGAAAAACTGTCAAAAAACCATCTACATGTCAGCTCTCCAACTGGATCTAGTAGGTCATGATTTACTGTATCCTGTGTTTGATCAACAAATTCTAATAGGTACCAATGCCTATTTGCATATCAGTTGGAGATGGTGATACCCACCTACTCCTCCCCCTCTCTCACCTTCACCTCCTGTCTCTCCCCTCTCTTTGTTACAGAACACAGCCATTTTTTAAAGGAATTAAGAATTTTCACATTGTTTCCTTTCTCTTCCAGTACTTCCTATCCTTACCACTTCAACACCCAAGATTTTCGTAGAGAATTACAGTAGACAGAGAATTGCAAAAAGTAGCAAGGATATTCCCCACTCCTGAATGACAAATAGATCAAGCAATTGAAATTTAGTTGGAATATTCTGCCATATAGTCAGAGTAATCTCTGAGCTCCAACACCTGATGTACAACTTGTGTTAAAACCCTCCCCTGTCATTCTATCAACCAAGTAGAAGTAGCAAGGATATTCCCCACTCCTGAATGAAAAATAGATCAAGCAATTGAAATTTAGTTGGAATATTCTGCCATATAGTCAGAGTAATCTCTGAGCTCCAACACCAGATGTACAACTTGTGTTGAAACCCTCCCCTGTCATTCTATCAACCAAGCTCATTCTTTCCCCTTCCTCATACCAAGAACTGCTGCTGTGTGCTTTGATCCACAGCTGACCATCAGTACCTCTAAATCATCTGGAAAGCTGACAGGAACTGGCACTGCCTGACATTGAACCTGGCCACCACTTAAGGACAGTGTGTCATTTGGATTGACAGCCAAACCCAGCTGCCCCTTCTCATTCCATCCCCACATGTAGAGGTCACCAAATTCTGACAGCAACACAAAAGGGAAAAAATCAAACTTAAGAAAATCTACTCAGCTCAAAAAACAAGTACCACAGATTTATGTGTTCATAATCCATCAAAAGTTACTGGACAGAAGAAAACTACTAAAAATGTCTTACCTGTAGAGTCTTATATCAGAGGGTTCATTTGTAAAGCAGTAAGAGTGTAAGTTAAATTTTCTGACCAAAGATAAGGAAAAGTCCTTCAGCGCTGGAATTTGGAATAATTGACTTATTGAAGGAAAAAATCAGAAATCCATGACAAAAACATTTGGAGCATGCTAACATTGACACGTCCTTTCCAAAAAGCGCTAATTCTACCCACATATGGCCAATTAAGGCCAAAGTGACCAGAGGGGAGCAATATTAATTTTCCTGCCCTGTTGATTATACAGCAAACCTTAGGAAATGTACTTAGGCTATTCCAATTGAATATTTAGCTTCTCTTCTCTCACCACTTATTGCTGCTGAATGCCGGCCACCTGCTGCTATAAACAGCATTCTGATTCCTTCCAGAGCTGGAACAACCTCTGAACTTTTCTCTTCAACTATTAATCCACGACCAAGCTGCCCACGACTAAAAAAAGCATGATTGTACTTCAAGCATGGGTATAGAAATTTCGACATTGTTGCAGTGTTTCGTCAACGTCTCGTGAGGTTATGATGTGTTTAAATAAATTTTCTACTTACGTTCTGCCACAGATTTAATTAGGAAGTCACGACAGCTATGCCTGGGAAAACATCGCTTAAAAAAGAAAGGAACTTCCGTTTCTCCTGAGTATTTTATGCGTAGCGCGCGATATGTTTGCTGTCTTAAACGGCGCCAGACCTTTTCTTTCAGCAAAACGTGAGAATGGAGCGTTGGATGATTTGCCCAAGGGGTTCCCGTTCTCAGACTGCACAAAATTTTGGAGATTTTCTAATGTTGTTTTGTAAACGACGACCAAGATATTTACAAAGTTTTTAAATGCGCGCGCTGAGCGAGTTTTCAGGTTCGTGAAATCTTATATTTCGCCACCTTCTCACTATCGTCGCCGTCGTTTTTTTCTTAAAGTCTCTAATACTCTGCTTCTGCGTAGTTTTTTCCACGATCTTTTTGGGAAAAATGGCAAATTGCTTGCGTAAGCCAACCAAGAATGAGTAACGAAACTAATCATATCTCACTGAGGTAAGAATTCATAAACAGATCTCACTGTGACAGTCCATGCACCATTCAACCCTTTCCTTCTCCATACTTAATTACCTTCTTATATAATTCTCCTCTTCAATTTCCCAACGCGGAGGATTGAGGACCTGGAAATAAAACACATATATAACAGGTTCACGGTGTAAAAATCTCACAACCTCTCAGATAATGTACCAGATGAATATGTCAAAGTTCAAGAGTTGGGCGAGGTGAAGTGAGAGTGGGGTATGGAAATAATTAAACCAAGGGTAATGGAGGTGGTAATAAAATTCTCCATCACCAGACAACAATGACAAAGTCCATCTAACCTGCATATAAGAGGAGAAAAATCTTGCTTATTGTCTCGAATCTAATTTACTTATTACAAAAATGTGGTAGTTTACCTCGGAATGGACGCATATGGATGCTAGTGACCTGAAAATAAAGTTCAGAGCCACACGAAATATGGTTTCTAAATCAAAAATTAGATATAAATGAATCTTAGCCTCCAGGGAGGAAGCCACTTAACCAAGGGCTGTGTATGTATGATTTATCAGTGAATTCCAGGCTTTGGATTGTTATCTTTCTCTTGGATCTAAGCTGGAGTCCTGAAATCTCGAAATAAAACTTCTTTCTCAGGGATTTCCCTAAAAATTTTACTTCAGCCTTTTTCTATTCTCTCGTGATAAAACACTTGTTTCTCACAAATCCTTGGCCATTCTGAATACAATATCACTCCCAGCCCACTTACACCTAACTCAAACTGTAGTTTTGGTGTGGAATCACGTTGCATAACAGAAAGACTGTTCTAAAACATCACGACAGCTTTATTTCAGGAAAAAAAAGAAAATTGTACATTCAAACCTTTTGATGTCACAAGCACCAATGGAATCGAAGACTGCTTATAAATTTGTATCTCACCACAGCCTCTGGCACCAATCGACGTGGAACACGGCTGAAACGGCTTCTGCCAGGAAAGGATTATTTCTTGCTGCTATTGTTATGCTGAGATGTTATATCCTCGAAAAGTATTCTAAGGAGATTCTCTGGCAAAGTCTTAACCTTCTCATTTGACGAAGGATTTCCTGTGATTATAGCCAACAAATCTTTTTCCTCTCTATTTTGCATTTTTTTGTATAACGCAACTTTTTAGTCGTATAATAACATTTTAATGGAATATAAATGTATCCACATTATTTACTTTTCATCAAAATTTGATCCTTTTTATCTCCATTTTCATTTGTCGCCACGGATATCTCAGAAAATGCAGTGACCATGCGCAAATCCTTTACCATGGATGGAAATGTTGAAGAAATCTCCAACAATGAACCTGACCTGGTGACCCGTTTGCTACATTCACAGGCTGAAAAGCATTCACTGCAAAATTGCTGTTTTGCGTTTCATAACTCGCCAGTGATGTGTAGCAGAGTATAGGCTACGACTTAACCAAAACAGCCATACTGAAAAATAAAAAACACTGACGTAATGTTAGAATATAAGATTTAGAGATAAGTACTTCCTACAAATTGTCCTGAAGGCTGTCAATGTCGTTCGCAGAGTCCTCGTCCTTTTTGGCAAGCGGTCGTGCGCCCCGTCAGGGAACTAAATTGTCTGGTCATCCGACTTCCTTACGAGCATCTTAAACGCAAGTGTAACGATAAACTAAAATTCCCGCCACGCCACGCATAACGTGATTGATTTGCGATCGTTTGCTTTGACAAGTTAGTAAATAGCCACTGGATGTTACAAAATTGCCATTGCAAGTCAATAAGTCGCCAGAGCAAATTGCTTAATCAAGGGTCTTCGCAAGTTACTGAGCTGCACCTGCAAGTTATAAGAATACCACTTCAAGATATTAGACTGCCATTAGAAGTTCCTAAGTTTCTATCGGAAGGTACTAAAATAAGATGACAAATTCTTAAATTGCTATTACAACGTACTATATTGCCACTGCAAATTGCTTAGTTGTTGAAGTAAGTTGCTAAAATACTATGGCAAGTTACTAAATTGCTCATGCAATTTACTAAATAGCCATCACAAGGTACAACAATACAAAGGCAAATTGCCTCTGCAAAGTACTAAATTGCCACTGCAAATTACTCAGTTGCTATTGTTAGATATTGATATACCATGGCAAGTTATCAAATTGCTATTGCAAGTTACTAAATTACCATTTCAAGTTATTAAGTGTCCATAGCAAGTTACCAAAATAGGATGACAAATTCGTAAATTGCCATTTTAATTGCGATCGCAAATTGCCAAGTTGCTATTGCAAGCCACTAAAATACCATGAAAAGGTATTAAAATAAGATGCCAAATTTCTAAATTGCCATTTCAAAGTTCTCAATGGCCATTGCAAATGACAAGTTACGAAAATACCATGGCAACGTAGTAAATTGCCTTTGCAATTTACTAAGTTACCATTGCAAGTTGCTATGTTATCATTGTAAGCCACCAAGTGATGCCATGCAAGTTTAGGTTGCAATCGCAAGTCGCAAGTCATTACGTTGCCATTGCAAGTTACCAAGATGTGGTCCGAACTTACCAACTTCCGCGCCAAGTTACGAAGTTGCGAACCAACAAGAAAACAAAAGAAAAAAGCACAATCAACGGTCACGGTTAAATTCAACTTTCCTTTAAATCGTCGTTAGGAGGGTTACGTGGATAACAAATTAAAAAAGCTCACCAGGCGGTCGGTCATGAGCTGGAAGAATTGGAAGAGCCTCTATGAAAATCAAAGATAAAACCTCAGTATATTCGAGTGAGCTTAATGACATAAACTAAGAAAACAAAAGAAAAAAGCACAATCAACGGTCACGGTTAAATTCAACTTTTCTTTACATCGTCGTTAGGAGAGTTACGTGTATAACAAATTAAAAAAGCTCACCAGGCGGTCGGTCATGAGTTGGAAGAATTGGAAGAGCCTCTATGAAAATCAAAGATAAAACCTCAGTATATTTGAGTGAGCTTAATGACATAAACTAAGTGATCTTCCTTGAAATACAACCTAGAAAAATAATTTCATCAGGAGTTGAAAAAGCATACTCTGAGCGAGAGTATAAGCTAACAAACTCTGTGTATCTTCCGCCCAATTCACCCATTTCCTTATTTTTTTTTTATACATTTGTAGTCTTTTTTAAGGTTATCCATTACTTGCATCGTAGAGCTTTTATCACTCGATCATAATCTTATATTATTCAAACTACCAGTAATGTTGGTTAGATGGCCTGACTATATCTCTAACAATTATTTCAAGCAGCCCCTACTCAGGTTGTGTACAAATCACCCATTTTCTTTTCACATTCTTGTATTGTTTCTTGCTTTCTATTTTAAATATTAGCTACAAGATAGGGTTTACAGTCGTGTTAAAAACGCAGGGAACATGTCTCACAACAGAGGGATTTGTATGAAGAAAAGCCCAACAAATTGAAATAAAACGAAACAAGCACGTCCCGTTTAAATACCAAAACTGGATGTCTGCCAGTCAGAAAATTCTTCTTAAAGTTATTTGTTTCAGCCTCGCTTTATAATGTAAAAATTTTCTCACCTTACCATAGAAAACCCAGTGGCCAAGACAATAAATTATGTGTGAATAGAGCAATTTTCATTTGAGTTTCAAAAATGATCCAGGATTGCTTTGTTTTTTGCTTTACATCGCTATGTGATTGGTCCAGAAAACACCTCAATCAGATTCAAAACTAAAACCAATTGCGATTTCTTGGTCACCCTCGTTTTCCTGCGCTTCATGCATTTTGCTTGTTTTTACCTCAGGTTCTCACTGCATAGTTCCTCTTGATATTTTTTTTCCTACGCCAGTTTAGCTGCTGAGATTGCTTTGATTTTGATTTCACGACGCTCAATCGAAAGCGATCTAATGTGACATACCATACTTACCTCCTTTGCCTACAGGACGCACTTACAGAGGCTCATCGTAGTAGAGCCTAAGACATGTGTCACCTATGACCCCAACGTTTCACAAGACTTTATTAGGCCGATGATTTTTTTTCAAAGCTCGAAGATACAACATCTGACCTGTCATCGGAAGGTGTTGGGTTCAAATTCTCACTTGGAAGTCAGATTTCCCTCTTTTCCTACGTTAACTTGACATCATTTTTCCTCGATGGTTTTGTACTTTAGAGCCAGTTCATAAAATCATTTTCTTCTTCACAAACCTGTCTCACAGATAAACCCATTCCTCTGATTACATGACGCAGTCCTCCATCTTCCTTCATCTTGATGAGGATTCATGAGTACGCAATCCATTGACTCTTTATTATTTGATGGTTCACTGACATTCCAGTAGGTATATTTGCGAGGACTGTTATCTGTCCAGAGGAATATGCCCTCCGAGATCAAGTCATTAAGGCCAATCCAAAAATCAGTGCTGGTTTCTCGAGTGATAGTATTTAAGAATACCTGTTCTTGCCTGGAAAATGAAAAGCTAAAATAACCAACCGTAGAAGGTTCAGACTAGAGCTGTGGTATAAATGCGTAACTTGTAAGATTAATAATGGTACTAAGACAAAGAGGAGTCCAATTCGGTCTGTAATCATAGGGAGTGATTGACAAAATCGGGCGACCGCGAATCGGGAGTCCGATTTGTTAATATGCTCACTAATTAGCTTCCCTTTTTTCTGACGAGTTGTAAATAGGCGTCAGGTAGTAAGCCGTCGTCATCACGATTTAACTCTCCAATTAAAAGCATGACGCGCACATTCTCCTATTAGTGCTCAAATCGGGCTTGTGATAACCAATCATGTTCGACGGAATTTGTGGTAGATTTGATTAAATGCATTGTACTTACCGATTATTCACTGTGACAAGGTCTCCATGCATACTGGTGTTATTTCGACAAACATCCCTTGCTTTCTGCCAAGAAAGAAGAGGATCTGACACGCTGCAGTAGCAGCTCTTTTCATAGTTCATCCAGCCATCCTCACATCGTCCATGGGCTTAAACACAGCAAAGAAAAAAAAACAATCACCTCGACCCATCTCAAACCTTTCATGTACTGAACTTAAATCTTTGGGTGGGGCTAAAAGAAAAAGTTCGACAGAAGAATATATCGTCAAACTGGTGCTATAAAGTAAGAGAAGAGAATTGTGGGACGCGAAGTAATCCTTCATGCATTATGTTTGGCTCATAAAAAAAAAAACTTGCTCTAGAAGTTGCTTTACAATCAGACTTTCGTGTGTTCCACGCGTAAAATATTCTTGGGTCGACCAAAATTAACATGTCAAACTTCATCGATTCAAACATCTTTCTACTTATGAACTCAGTAAGGAGGTAAATTTCAGCGCATGAAAAGTTCAAAGTTGGACGGGGCCTCGAATTCATCCTGTAGTACCACATTTCGCACCGTAACTAAATAAATTAATACATTTGCGACAAAATCTCCTCTGATGATTAAACTCCTTAAAATTTGGTGTTCGTTCCAGGATTAGCTAAATCGGAGATGACTGGAAATCTGTTATGTACGATACCTTTGTCATCTCAGATATTCCGACAATTGAAAACCAAAAGTAGTAACTAAGTATTCTGGCTCTTGTTTATAAACACAAACATAGTGACAATATTGATAACAAAATGCACAGTGTCTCTAGCTAATGTCGATATTACTTACTTGGTTTAGGTTCCAAAGGATTCACATTTGGTATGATGGTTTCTGCGGAACACATCATAAAAATATCGTTTAGTACATAGTTTGTGCTGAATTTCTCTTTTGATCAGCCGTCACTTTCTAACAAAAACAATTTATAGAATATTTTGATTCAGACGGGCAGTGATGTGGTGGTCATCTGTTACTTTAATTGCGTAGCAATGCTCCGAGCCAACCGAACAAAAACTATGCCGGAATAGCAAGCATATGGAATTCAAAGACAAGTTTTGAGACCCCGTTATCCATGAATAATTTTTAAAGCGCCATTGAAACGAATTCTAACTTCCTTCAAACTAACGGAAAAAAACAGTATCTCGAAACGAATACTATGCATAGCATTGCGCAACTTGAAATTCGAGTTACCGGCTCCTATCTCTTACGCGATATGGAAAAATTCCTCTCAAAATTAAATGTGCTAACAAATGAAATATGTACGACGTCGCGAGGTTTGCAGCTCGAAAGCGGAGGTCCTGACCGGTTGGGAAGTTGAAGTAAGAGAGAGGTAAAAGAATTAAGGTGTCACGTATCCGGTAGCGAAAGGCGGGTGAAAAGTAAAAATTCAGTGCCAGAATTTACTAGGGGATCGAGAACGTGGTCAAAGACCATACATATGCCGGCGACTCTGTAAATATGATGAATATCTGTAGCTTTTATTTTACCAAATTTTGATTGCTTGTACCAAAAAGTGATATTAGAAATATGTTTCTTTATTTTTCCAAACCAAATGTGAAAGGATATAATTCTTTCAAGTATTTGCAGGCTCACGAAATTACCGTTGTTTTCCCAAAATACACTACATACCCGGTATTAAGTCTAATATTAAAACAGATTATCTTGTGATCAGTAACGTTGCCATGAATATTCGTTTATGAAATCAAACGTCAAAGCTAAAATTTTCCTCAATAGCACTTAGACCCTTTTAACGCTAAGATTGACTAGCAGCTAATTTCTCTTTGGAATATTACCCCTGAATCAGCTAAAGAGGCTCTTGGTTGTTAAACAAATTCCCCCTATCAGCACCTTAGGAAATTTGTAGAGAACAGTATGGAGAATATGCATACTGATAAATAAGGCCTTGCGGTGAGGTTCGTACATGCTTGGAGGAGAACTTTGACACGAACAATTGACTTCTCATTACAGAGACTAAAGAGAATGGAGAACAAAATGTGCTAGCCCAAAATATGATAAGTTTTACATATCAGCTAGCATACTGTGGGTAACTTACTCTTGGTCTGCTTGCAGACGTAGCACAGGTCGATACCGCAATTTAAGTCATTCCAACGACCTGCTGACCACGACCTAATTTCTATACAGTCTTCTTGGCCATAGAAATCATTTGGTTCTTTGTTGCTATATTTTTGGTAAACAAATGATGACCCATCCGACCATTGGAAATTGCCTTCTGTCCTGAGGTCATTAAGTCCAATCCAACAAGCACTACATAATAAAATTAATGATAAGAATAATTATGAAAATAATCATAATGACTATTATTTTAATAATGATAAACGACAGCTTAAAGGAAATAGGTGCGCTTGCACTGAGAGTTGTGCGATGCAACGCACGAACTTAGTCAGGTCATAACCAACAATTCATATTTTCAGATTCATTCAATGAGACGGTGCACGACTTTTCTCCATGCACGATTTTGAAAAAAAACTCAAATGTTGGTCGAGTTGGGAGTTAGGTTTACGCTTTAATAATGTAGGTTTCAACGCAATGAGATCAGCAATACCCATAGTGCAAATTTTTTAAGTAAAAAATGAAACTCAATTAATAGTCAATTGAACACAAGGAAACCATCTGACAACAATAAACATTTGTGCGCATGTTTGGTTTCTTCTTGCGCCCATTCATTCGCACAAGTATAAGATTAATGTGTCTCGCAACGTTTTCCGGTTTAAGCAGTAAGCGTTGCTCACAGTGAAACTAGGTTACCCTTTTCCCAGTGATTGCTAAAATGCTGCAACAGTCTTTTACGCAATATCCAGTGGTACACTCCCTTGCAAAAACATATTTACCCGCCCCCCTTCCAAAAATTATGTTTTTCGACTTCTTCATATTTGGTGAGAATTCAGCAAGGGAGTTGGACCGCTCTTACCCTGAGACATGGCGTGTTATAAAGTCGTTCTCCGCAGCACTGTGAATACTGGCAAGGTCTCCTCCACGGATTCTCTGACATGCCTGTCGAGCGTCTTGCCATGCGACTCGGCTTGAGACAGAATCATTTGCAAAGTAGTAACACGCGTTATTCCAACGCATCCATC